AGTCTCCGCTGCGTTGGTGCAGCCTGCTCTATCACAGACCATAGTGGTAGAAATATTACAGAGAGAGCAAACTCTTCATCGTAGAATTCCCTTTGGTGATACAGAACCATCCGCTTAAAAATATAGCCTAGGGAAATGTATGCACGTCTTTGTGTGCCTCTCGTCCACTACAGTCAACAAGCTTTTGCACACATATGTCCTGTTCCTGAGAGAAATGGACAATATTGCAACCCCCACTCCCTACATGCACTGATCCAAGTCTGTGGAGCTGGACCAGAAACAGAATCTGAAATTTTGTGTTTCCTTTTCAAAGCCTTGAGTTGGGTTTCTGCATTAAGAAAGAGATAATAGCTGTGTCTTCACTGGAATATCAATTTGATTAATGTTTTTGTTGTGCACTCACGTCATTGTTAGACTAGAAGTGCTGCAGTTTCAAAGCTAACTTCAAAGTCTACATAAATTCGGAAATCAGCGCGCATTTTATTCCTCAACATAATGTATTTCAGGTTGAAAGAGAATAAGAAATAATTGTGGACAGGACATGATTTTGTCCACTAGGATTTGATTGGATTGTCTGAGTCAGATCCGGATGCTAGTCTGCGGTTAATTGTGGAAGACTACGTGCATCCAGCAGCCGCGTAGGAGGGAGACGGGGGAGGGGGCAATTCAGGAGATGCAGGAGGAGGAAACATGCTATGAAATTATTGGCTAACATTATTTTTCACCACCTGTAGTGGTCAGTAATGTAATCGAACCTCAGAAGGTGTTCAGAAGTGGGCAACGTCACTACAGTTCAATCAAAGATTATAGAGACGCAAGGATTTTGTCTTTTAAATGACATAATATGATAAATCATGATCAAGATGACCAAGGACATTAACTAACCCTTGACTTTAAAGGCTTTTAAAAAGGTGCCTGTTGGTCTCATTGACTTCTATTCTTCCTCCATTCCATCTCTCTATATTACAAAGAAATCTGATGATTTGGCACTGCTACATATTGAAATACATTGTAGAGGTGTAAACTTTTGAATTGAAAATAAAAACAAGTTTTTATTTTTAACTTTCAAAAGAAGAGACAGGAACACTGTTTTGAGTTCATGATTTTTTTCTCTTCATCAAATTAATGTTTGCCAAGTGGATTTATGTAGTTTAAAATGTAAGGCTGAATGACAAGCATCTGACACATTAGAGATAAATTAGAAGCACCATTATTTAACCCTTTAAGGCCGGCGCCAAAAACATGACTATTTCTGTCACTTAATCTAATCTTAATCTACTTTGCATTAATAACATGATTTCTCAAAGCTGTTATTGCATTTATGTTATGCACAGGCTAGCTCTTTGAACAAGAAAGCACATGAATAGGAATATAAGTCACACATTAGTTACATTTTATTGTCACTCACATTAAACAAGTCAATAATAATCAACTGATCCAGACTTCGCTGAATGAGCTTGCATGATCTGTCAGAAAAAGTCACAGTGCATCCAGTAGTAAAGGAAGCCTTATGCATCTTTTATGTACAGAAAGAAAACAGAGTAGCACACAGAAAGCTCAGACTCTCCTGCTGATGTATTTCACTATGGCCAATGTGGCCACGTAGGAGCCGTAACTCCTCAGCAGATTAAAATGGGTTAAAGGGGCCACTTTTAAAGTCTGAATGTTTTGCGAGTGAGACATTTTGTTCAGTAGGGTTAAGCTGAAACAGCTGAAGGCCTTTCCCTTTCTGTCAGTTACATCTAATTCGTCTGCTTTCGAATTCAGCATCCTTGCCAATCATAGTCCTGCAACAACAATCTTCCAAAGATATACAAACCTCTCTGCATCCATCATAACCCCATTTTCTGATAGCTGCAGTACTGGTTGTACTTCATTCTTTGCAGAAAGCAGACTAGAAGATGAATAGGCCTATATTTTCATGACCCATGATAACAAGGGTTTGCACTCAGTCCAACAGAAGTCAACTTTAGTCACGTCTTTGTAAGATGTCTCCTGATGTGCTAAACAATGGGTGGAACAGTGGTTGTTAGTGACCAAGATGTTTGTCCCTGAACAGTATGATGGATTTATCTCACAGTGACCAGACAACCCTGCTGTTACTGCAGTGTACAAGGGAGAGGTTACCCTCTTGGGAATACATCTTTTCCCTCTGCATAAACTCTGACATATTTACAGGACCTATACATTTCCTTTAAAATACATGCTTCCTGAGGTATGTGGCTTGAACATGCAGTAGTTTGAAGAACCTTTAATTGGTATAGAACCTTTATATTATGTGGAGTTTCTTAACATTTCCAAAAGATTCTTCCACTGAAACGTTCTTTAGTGAATCAAAAGTATTTAAAGTGGCATCATTCCAAACAACCCTCTTTGGCTCCTTTAATTTTCAGAGTGTAGTTTTAAATGAAACAGTTTCAAAATGTGTGTATTTGGTATGAGAACAGTTGGTTGTACGTTGCATGTCTGGGGACTCACTCAGCCACTAATTATGTCCAGTCATTATTTTTGAACAATGATTCTGCAGCCGTCTGTCTCACAAAATAGTGTCCTTCTCTGAGCTTTTTACAGCAATGTAGAAAACCACACAGAGTGCATGGTATGTCATTGTTTCACTGTTAGTGCTAGGCCAGCAAATGCGCTGTGACATTGTGATATTGCGATGTAAAAATGTGACACTGTGGAGATGTGATGCATCATGGAGAATGGACATTCTATTTTTATGCCATCTGCATTGTTTGAACACCAGTGTTTGCAAACAACCAACACCAGTCAAAAACCCACTGCAGCACCTTTATGTCATGCACCACACTCCTGCTATCTGCCAGCTCTCATCTTGTTTGTAAATTGTGCTGCAACATGGACACAGTCATCATTTTTCTTAAAATGTTGTTCAAAAATCGTGAACCAAGAATGATTGATCGAATTATGGCTAAGTGTATCATTACACCCTCTAGCAAATAAAGCGGTTTCTAACATATTTTGTGCTGCTGTTCTTGAGAGATTGTTTTACATTGACTGCAGTGATTGGGACAGTATACTATCTAATTCAAAGAGGCATTTCGACCCATAACTAGTGTTTAATATGTTATTTGTTTGGTTATGCAGTGTAGCGATGCATTTACCCCTTAATTGGCCTAATCAGTTTGACCAAATTAAAAATTTGTAGTGTTTTCATGTTTTCATCCATAAGCATTTTCTTACTACAAAACACAGCATGTATTTCACAAATTACAAAAATCACACAACCTTTGCAAATCCCTATGCCATTTAACAAATTCTGACATTTAGCCATTGATCTAGATGCTAATAAATACATCTGTGGTGCCAGTCATTAAGATGGTGGTCAAACTTTTTTGTTTGTTAAAGAAATAAATAATTTAATGGATTTCAAACAGTCTGCCCCCAAATATCCACCCCATCCACCCCAGTCTTGTAAATTCTACTTCCACTTTCAAGATACATCATCTGAAGGGGGTGTGGCACAGCTGTAAGAGACGAGCATGTTTTTAACAGAAGTAGCAATGGTTCCATTTTGCATTTTGCCGGAGTGTCCCTTAATGGACTTTACTGTGATACCCAGTGTGACCACTGTTTTTTAAAGCTAGTAGTCAATTTACCCAAATTTGCAATATAGCCTTGTGTGGTTGAAATACAAATACAGACCAGATTATAACCGTCCCTTGTGAACAACAGCATTTCACAGAACTGAAAAATCAAAAAGCAGAATGAAAATGCATATGTAACCAAGACAGGCTGTCCAGTCTTTATTTCAGACTTCGTTCAGTAGCGTCTTTGTAAATCAGTCATCTCCGTTTGAAATGTTCTGGATTTCAGTTGTTGCATTTAGATTCTTAACTACAGTCTGCATTTGCATTTAGAAATTGCTTTTTTTTCCTCCAGTTGATCGAGATTGGAAGCAGTAACTCCCTGGGCACCAGTTAGAAGCTTTAACCATTTGAGCTAGCTGTCAGAGTGAATAATAAGTGCTGTGCGCGCTGGTGTGTGGAGTCACATGCTCCAGCAGTGCGATTTGGCTGAGGACTATTAAACCCGCAGAGTGACAGCAATGAGAAAGAGATATGGGAATTGACATGCAGAAAAAAAGCCCAAAACAAAACGACCCACCAGTGATTTATCACAGACGCCATCAGCGTTAGACTATCAGATGAACGTGGTTGCTGCTTTTTATCAAATTCAACCCTAAACATCAACTTTTGTCTCCTTTCACCCAGTGCGCTTTTGAGATATTTCTGAAAAGAAGCTTGTGTGAGTGGTTGGTGAAAGCTGAGTGAAAGTGGGTGCTTTTCTGCTGAGGAGAACGCTCTGTCTCAGCAAACCTCAGTGAAAGGGATTGTTTTTGTTTTGGTGAGGAAGGGCAAGACAGAAATAAAGCTCCTTACTGCGTGAAGCCTTTTTATGAGGGCTCATGAAGGCAATCCTCATGTCTTTATTTAATCAAAATGTGTGCTGGGCTTCAGGATGTTTGTTTATCTAGTTGTTTATCTGGTTTGCTATCAGACATTTGGAGCAGATGGCGTTTTTCTCTAACGAAGCTTCGCTTCCAGCATGTTCTCTCTCACAGTTCCTGAGTTGTTTTTTTTGACTCAGCTTGCCTTGAATTATTCATATTCAGTCTAAGCTGAGATAAATAAAGACAAGATTTAAGATCCCTGCGTTTCATAGATAAAAATAAAGCTTCTCACAGGAACCATAAAACTGATGTATGCCTCTTATTTAGTGCATCATATCCCTATAACTTTTTATTAGGACCCATCCACAACCAATGTTTCTTTTCAGTGTTGTCATGAATATTATTCTGCTCAGCAACTGCTGGTATTGGGAAGCAGCAGACTGTAGCACATTTGGTAGTATCGGTAGGGATAAAAGGAAATGGGTACAAAGTAAGCCTGTGCTAATGTCTGAACTGTGGTGTGAGGAAAATGCTGTGTAAAAGGGTGAGTTGATAATACTTAAATTATACCTCTGCTGCCCGGCAGGTGTGGACACGACCAAGGACCCATGTCAGAAGGTGAAATGCAGCCGGCACAAAGTGTGCGTGGCCCAGGGCTATCAGCGAGCCATGTGCATCAATCGCAAGAAACTGGAGCACAGGCAAGTCACAGAACACTGCATACTGGATTACTGAAAATACAAAATTAATGATTAACTCTCTAGGGTCCATGAGCTCACCCGTGCGTCAAATTCAAAGTTTCTAGATATGATTTTCTATCTTGGTGATAATACAGTGCAGAAATACGGTTCAAACATTTCCTGAATCTGTTGGGCCGACCCTTTTGATTCCATATTATTGCAAGATCGTACGTGACTCACATCTGGAGTTATGAGGCTATGACGAGGGGTTGGGATATACGTCATCTGCCTCTCACCAATCCACCAATTCCACATAGTCTCACACAAAATGTCAGGCTACATTTTGTTTGAAACTGACTAATGGACGTTCAGGAAATCACTGAGGAATTACTCATCACATCTGAAACCCTTCATTCTTCATTCAGTTGAATTCAGAGACACATGTGAAATGGCGTGCAGAGTTTACAGCTGTTGAAGTTGCTGCAGTGGTTTTGGAAAGTAGAAACGAAGATAATGGAACATTTGGGCTTCATGTTATATGCAAGTAACTTTAAAGGCGACTTTAAGAAGAGAGCAAAAATCCAGAAAATGCCCTCAGACCCCAGGGGTTAATGATTGTTACAGATTGGTTATTTATGTAACACAGGGTTATAATGAAATTATGATGTATATATTTAGTTTTCAGGAGGGTTATCTTGTCTTGGGTAATATATGTATTACCAAAGATAACGTGTAAGAAAAAAAATCCTGAAAGTTTATGCCCATAGTCAGTAAACGAGTGGTTACTCAGTCAATGTTTAAATAAAATCACACTATATAACATTATAACAAACACAAATAAATATAAATATCATAAAAGTAAGAAGAATTTCTTGTTTTCAAAAAATATTTGAGATATTGTGAGCTAGTTAGACTGTACAAATGTATGTTTTAACTTAAAAATTTTACTGGGCCGCCTTAAAATTTTTAGTTAATTGAACTTGTTATAGTAAATTAACAGGACGGGAATCCGTGTCTTATGCTCTAGAAATGTATTATTTTAAGTTTAGTTAAAATTTTTTCATCACATGGATTTGTTAAGGGTGGCACAGTGGCGCAGTGGGTAGCGCTGATGCCTCACAGCAAGAAGGGTTTGATTCCTGGCTGGGCGACCAGGGTCCTTTCTGTGTGGAGTTTTCGTGTTCTCCTCATGTCTGCATGGGTTTCCTTCAGGTACTCCAGTTTCCTCCCACAGTCCAAAGACATACAGTGAGGCCAATTGGACATGCTAAATTGCCCCTAGGTGTGAATGTGTGTGTGGATGTATATGTCTGTCTGACTGCCCTGCAATGGACTGGTGACCTGTCCACAGTGTATCCTGCCTTCTGCCCAATGACAGCTGGTATAAGCTTCAGTTCCTCACCGCGACCCAGAAGGATGAGCGGTTTAGATGATGTGTGTGTGTGTGGATTTGTTAAATTTCACCAGCACACTTGATTTAATTTAATGAATGATTTGACAAACATAAGTATTAGAAAGTATTAGATGATAACTACAAATAATATGAGCCGCCACACGTAAAGGTCTAAAAATGGTTAAGCAAACACATATACAGACATGAAAGCACTACTTTTATCTCTTTTTTACTTTTATCCCCCCCTCCTCAAAAGCAACAAAAACAAAGCAAACTGTTAGATATTCAATTAACTCAAAATTTCAAGGCAGCTCAGTAACTAGAATTTTTTTGCAAGTATTTTTCTTTACAGTCTGGCTTTGAAATACAATTTTCTCAGGTTTCTAAAACCTTTGCGCAGTGTGGAAAAGCACCAATTTAGATATTTCTTTATAAAGCATGCCTGTATTTACTGTTCATATGTGAAAGTTTACTGTGTGTGTGTGTGTGTGTGTGTGTGTGTGTGTGTGTGTGCTGTGCTTTGAGGTTGCTCTGCACTCTCCCTTTATCTGCTGTAGTGAGGAACAGCCCTAAAGAGCTACAGCATAATCGGCAAAACTAATGGGCCAAAACATCATTGCCTGCAGAGTCTATATCTGCAGCAATGGGCATTTATTTCTCCTCTGTGACTGTGTGTGTGTGTGTGTGTGTCTGTGTGTGTGTCTGTGTGTGATACTGTTAGGTTCTCTCTCTCAGCACCATTAACTGCAGACTCAGTGAATGGGTGAGTTGTGGCTGTGCTGACAAAGACTGATACACTCTGATCAAACAATCAAAGCTTCAGCCATCCACAACACAGAGCAGAAAGAACAAGGCAGAATTTACTAATGGATTATGGGTCATTTTTGTAGCTACATGCTGTTGAACAAGGAATTACATGCTGTTTAAAATCAGCTGCTCCTTGCCTTCAGTACTCACTGGCTATCATTATTGATAAAATAATGGAATAAAAAGTACAGTTTGTCTACATTGTTTCACAGTTTCTCTCAGATATACCAGATTATACCATGATGAGAGGATAATGCTAGTGGTAATGCTAATGAGTATTTTGAGTTTATACTACAACTGCAACTCTCAAATACATCTGTGATTCCCCTTAGATGGCTAGGGCCCACCAGCAGGCTCAAAGTTTTATTACACACTTCTGTAACCTTAGAATAGCTCAACCATTTTGCATTGAAGTCCCTGTAGTCACTGAATAATAAGCCTAGTATTTAATAAGCCTGGAATTTTAAGGGCTTAATCCATTGACAGGTTTTTTATTAATTGGCTAATCTAACGGTGTATGCTCTTGTTTCAATGAGAGATAAATTTAATTGCTTTTGTTTACATAACTGTTCAGTCCATTCACCAGTTGAAATTGTTGCTGGACTGAATACAAGAAATTGTGGAATTAAAAAGGAATACTTTTAATTATTTTCTAAAACCTTCAGTTATCAAAATAAATCAAAAATAACTTTATTATTCATTATTATTTCCTATTCGTTTTTTCTTCTTTCTTCTGGAATCTAGCATGTTTAATCATTTCTCGATTTCTCTTTTTTTAACATTTATATGATTCCGATTGGGGCATGTCAGCCTAGGCAACATCAGATACATCATTGGCTAAAAGTTTCTGCATTAAACATTATTATGCTTATGCCTTCCAAGAACAACTGGCAAGTTTGTGATTTTCTGACTGTATATTTTGCAAGTTTTAAGTGTTAATGCTCAGCTGGGACAACTGGACAGCTTTATCTGGAGCCTTACTATTTCATTATTGAAATACTACATCAGTATGGCATTAATTTGTACTGCACTGTATTTAACATCACTAAAATGTTTCTCTCTTTCATGAGATGTTCTGTCTTCTCACATGTAGCCTAGCATTACATTTACTGGGCTGATATTAACCACTTAGACTTTTACCACCAGGAAAAGAAAACATGCTGGAATTTGCCTGCTTTTGTTTCATTTGTGCTGTGAAATCTCCACTTTGCATATTTTTGTATGTCTTTTTTCTTTTCCTTTTCTCCTTTTGCCACTGCTGGCATTCAAAGTTCTGTCTGTACCACAAACGATTTTGTGCTAAGATACAGTGAACGACATTATATATGTGGTCATTGGCCTGTATCTAGCAAACTGAGTAAGAATGATGATCTGCGATCAGTGCATGCCTTTTACATAGCAGTGAATAGGATTACCTGGACTGATGAGACCTGATTTTGGTCAGTATTCTTATGCTTGATAAATATGGGCCATTATATACTAACGCTCCTCTTGTATTTGGGTGTATTGTAGGGTCAGACAGCCTGGACTGAAGCCTCATGTAAACTGTAAACAATGCCAACTGTCCACATCAAACCCTGTGTGTGGATCTGACGGACATAACTACGCTTCACAGGTATACACACATAAATACCCCCCTCAACACAAAACACAGGTACACACACAAACCGGCGCAGACACGCTGCTGATTCCTTCATCACTCTCAACTTGAAACCAAATAAAATATTTATAGGGGTGACCGCAGTTGCGAGAGGGAGCGAGCGAGAGATAGAGAGAGGAGGAGAGGGAGAAAAGGAGTGAGGAATTGGAGGGGCAGAGTGAGGAATGGCAAGAGGAAGGGGGCGCAGAGCAAGCAGTCGTTTTCTCTGTGCCTTTTGTGCACAAGGTCAAAATTAAAAACGATACATAAATCAATAAAGCCGGCAGCAGGCGAGTGATACGCCACTCAAATCAGCGAAGGCCATTAATCAAACTACTACATTTAGCTACAGCAACATTCTCCCTCTCTCTCTCTCTCTCTCTCTCACACACACATACACAAAGTCAAGTACATTCCAGCACACTCAATCTCTTTCTGATATAGAAACATGCTCTATCCTATACCTGCAGTCATACACTGCAACAAATGATTTCTTGGCAAGTGAAATTGTCTTAAATCTAGGCAAGATACATAAGAGATACATACATAATAGATTATGAGATGGTTCTAAGAATATTTGCCTTATTTTTAGACATTTTTATCTCAGTTAGTTTTATGTCATTTTATGTAGTGAAATTGTCTTATTCTTTTGGCAGGTACTGTTGCTTGTTTTAACTTCTTCCTGCAGGCCACCTGTTGGCTGTTCTGTGGCAGAATGGAAATTGACTCAAATATTTTTAATTAATATAATCAAATAAAATATTTTCTCCGTAACTGTTGTCAGATTACGTAAGACACTGTTGGCTCTCTGTGTGTGAAGTGCTAGAGCAGTGAGCTGTAAAACGGGAATGGTGGGAACCCTCCAATTTATACCTCTTCACACTGACGACCCTGTTGAGCAAAATCCAACAGCCCAACCGCAGCTTTCTTGATATGAGTAAATCATGCACTACTTCTACAGTAAAAATAGACTTTAGGCACAATAAAAAGCATTTTTATAAATATTGCCTGGCTTACATTGAGAAAAATTGCATAGTTCGACTGAGAGTCCTCCAGAAAAAAGGTGGAAATTGCATTTTATGGCAACTGTGAGAAGGAGTTAGGCATTCATTTTTTAAAATAGCAAAATTATTTGCCAATAGAATAAGACAATTTCTCTAGTTTAATAATCATTCTAATCTCATACTGAGATTACTATATAATTCTTCATGACAATGTAATGACGAACTACACTGTAATTTCTTCCTTTCTCTCCTTTTTTCCTCCTCTCTTTCTCTGCAGTGTAAGATGGAGCAGCAGGCGTGTTTGAGTGGTAAGGAGTTGAGTGTGAAGTGTGCAGGACCGTGTCCTTGTGTTAGTGAGGCTATACCAAAACCAGAGACAGATACAGTGTCTGCTCCCAAACCAGGTGAGCCTCTCAACACATGAACTGTTACACTACAGCTGCACTGTACATGCAAAATACAGCTTTAAAACATTCTTGCTGAGTCTGACCCATCCTGACCGCACAAACAAAAAAAGCTGTTGCTGTTCCAAAATTCTGCATTTGAGTATTCAATGTGAATAGTGCTGTAGTTTGAATAAATTTCAAGCTCTACTACAGACACCAGCAATATGGAGTACTATAAAGTTATGTATAAGTATTATGTATATATTTGATACATGTAAAAATTTGGATTCCCCTGGCCAAAATACATATTTTGCTGATTTTTTTAACTGAAAAGTAAACACAAAGTTTTTCAGATCATGTCATATGTCTATATGTTTTAATATAACGCACAGGCTTGAAAAGAAGGTCCGGAGTTTAGGTCTCAAGAGCAAAATTAATGTTATGCTGATGATGATATGATGACAATAGTAGATAACTCACTTACATCTTCGGAGTAGATTTCACTAAGTTCTCTTTCAGTACTCTTTCAACATGCTCGCAATCATCAGATTTATCTACAACCAACGTTCAAAATGTTCTTACGCATGTTGTGGAAATGTGCAGTTACACATTTCCACCAGAGAGGTTTTCAAATCTTTAGATCTTACATAATGTAGCTTTAACTGGGAGAAGTCAGTGCAAGATCTGGAAGACCAAAAAAAATCTACACTGACTTATATGCTGCCAGGAAGCAAAACTCCCATATGACTGAAAATTACCAGCAGGAAGGTTTAGCTGGAGTGATGGTGCACCATTCTACTATGCATCACTGCTTGTACAAACATGATCTGCATTAAAGAGTCTTTAGAAGGAAATTTTACTTACAACCTCATCAAAAAAGTAAATGTCTAAAGGATGCAAAACAACATCTAGATAATGCCAGAGGCATTCTGAAAGTGAGTGCTGTGGACTTCCTAAGTAAAATTGAACACCTTGCCAAATGTTAAACATGAGGGTGGATATATTGTGCTTTGGCATTGTGTTGCATCCAGTGGAACAGGAAACGTTACACATTACACAAATTCTGGAAGCACAGTCATTCAAGTGAAGCTGAAAAGATGCTGGTTTCTACAACAAGACAGTGATCCAAAACACACTTCAAAATCCACCATGAATTACTTAAATATGCCTTTACTATTTTTTCTGTTTGTTAAAGTTACAAGAATAAAAAGTAACACTGCATTAAAATGTGAAGAAAAGCATCTTTTAATTGTTTAAAGCAGAAGATGTGTTTACTTGTTTTCAAAAATCAACAAAATATGATATTTGGCCAGGGGTGGTTTGCTTTACAACTGTTTGGTGTGCTGTGTTTTGTTGGAAAAGTGTACGCATTTCTTTCATTCATATTATTCTAATTGTCAAGAGGTGTACTTTTCTGAAAAAAGCCAGCAGCCAGCCTTGGTATATTGGATGCTTATGGTCTTGTTGCAGCATGCTTTGTAATTCTTGTGCTCTCCACCTTGCCTGCCTCTGTCTCTCATTCCTCAGATCACCTATTGTTCTCCCTAGCGGGGTTGTTTGTACATGCACAAGTTATTTGTAGGACACATCACTTTAAAACTCAAAGAGCCTGAAATGTAACTCCCATAGACATGCAGAATCTTCTCAGTTTAAGCCGAAGTCACACCAGGGGAACCACAGGACTACAGAGAGCTGCCAGTTCAGTTTGATGCCTCTACACAGTGTGATGGTTTTCCACCAAGCTATTGTGACAGGGCTCACTATGAGCATGTCTAAGAGTCAGCATCTTACAGTCATACATGCTGCTCAGGCATAATCATCAGTGTTGATTTGGCTTTTATTATGTTCATTACTGTCCAGCTTAGCTCTGCATGGTGCAAAGAGAATTTCAATTCAGCACAGCGAGTTCACTTTTCTGTTTGCTGGTCTGAGCAGCAGCTGTGTGTCAGATTAAAGTTTACTGCCACAGTCTACACAGCCTGCTTGTTTACTGGCTTGTCACGGCAACAATCGTAAAAGATTCTGTCGCAGTGTCACACCCCATCAAAAAAGTCAAACATATAAAACGGATGAGATGAGCAGTGCACCGAGGGGTCAGTCTGCACTTGCTCTTACTGAATGAAAATGAGAAACTACATGGTAGGTGATACACTAATGTACTGTACAGTGATGATAGGCTTTTTGACCTCAGTGACCCTTTGCTGCTGAATGGCCTTTAGATCAATATTGGCCCATTCCAAAGATTAGCTTGTCACTGTGTTAGCTGCAAGTCCTGGTTTGTTAAAGTAGTCTGCCTCAGACTGATGGAAACAGCTACTCTTTTATAATCTGTTCTTTAGCATGCGTATTTGTCATAAAGATAACAAAGATCCTAGTATTTATTGTTCAGGGGTGAAATACGATATGTTGTTTTAGTTGTATTACATCTTGTCACGTTTTTTTTGAGCATTTTGAGTATATTCTGGATATCGTCAGAGCACAAGTTTCATTACAAAGAGAGCATAATTGGTCGTGCTTCATTGGATATAGTGCAGCATATGTGAAATATTGAATCAACATCTTTGTGCTCATAGTTTTTCATAGCCATTTGTAAATTTGGCTGGTGCGTTACATCCATTCCACATACCTCAGAAAATGAAATAGTGTGATAAGGTTTGTGTACTGTGAAAATAACTTTGAGTTCATGTGTATATTATACAGTATAACACATGCAACATTTGATAGTGTGGTGTCAGATGTTTGTATATTCATGTTATATTTTTTCATCACATTGCTCACCCCAATTAAATTCCAGTAAAATGCCATTATAACCAATTATATGAATGGTGAAATATTCAAAACACATGGAAAAAAACATTGTTTAAATCGTTTTCTGCTGCTACATGCTTAATTAATTTTCAGATAAATTTAGTAGGCAACACATTAACCTTTTTCTGGTTGTAACATTAATTGCAACTGAAAATCTAATCCTGACCTAAACACATAACATAATTCTGACTGATCTGTAACCACAACTGTAACATAACTGAAAAATTCATATTTAGCAGTTTAGTTTTGTTTCATTAAATAATTTAATTTAATTACATAGTTATCTGAGAATCTGTAGGGAACCATCTAAGTAAAGTGAAACTGAAGCACAAAACTGATTTCTTTCAACTTAAGCCAGCATTTCTCCCACTGAAGCTGCTGCCTGTGTGTTTCAAGTGCAAAGGATGACAAATTCTGTCAGTCACTGTTGGCCCACAGTTTTTTAGTGTTAATGATGACTCTCTATAACCTCTGTACCCCTCTTCTCTCTCTCTCTCTCTCTCTCTTTCTCGCTCTGTAGAAAGCTGCACAGGTCAGGACTTGGCTGATTTGGGAGACAGACTCAGGGATTGGTTCCAGCTTCTCCATGGCAACGCTAAAACGAATAATTCTGGTAGACAGGGATCAGGAACAGCATCAGGTTAGCAACAACACACACTCACATAAGCACACATTATGTTATTGTTCACATATGCATGGCTACATCTCCTCCTTCTCCTCCTGCAGTGTTTGAGAGGAACTTGGTGGCAGGCTGTAAGGACTCTATTGGCTGGATGTTCTCTAAGCTGGACACCAGTAATGATTTATACCTGGACCACTCAGAGCTGGCTGCGATAAACTTGGAGAAGTACGAAGTGTGCATCAGACCCTTCTTCAACTCCTGTGACTCGTACAGAGATGGCAAGGTCTCCACGGCTGAGTGGTGTCTCTGCTTCTGGAGGGAGAGTGAGTCTTCACCTGCTGAAATATTTATATGTTTATCTGTCTCTTACTCACTCTCACCACTTCAAATCCTTTCTTTTAAAAGTAATAGTTTGCAGAAAGAATAAAATTTACTGTGTTGCTCTCACCCTAACTGTAGTTGATCAGACAATATGTATTTGGTTTCTGAAGTTTGGTCTTCCATTTGGCATTGGAGCTATGAGGCTAATGTAGCTAAGAAGTAAAGGAAGTTTACACCAATTAGTAATGTGCAAACAGCATTGTCACTTGAACTGCATCGCATCTCAAAGTAATCTGTCTTGCTCATGTAATTTCAACACTGTATGGTATGTTATTTATAAAAGTGGACAAAATCCACTTAGTGTAACTAAAAACGGTTGTAGCAACCCTGTTTAATCCTGCTGTGTTTGTTCACTATGCGCTATATGCTATGTACTTATATCTTTAAACACTGCATTTTTGTAGGGCAGTATCGCCTCAAATCGAACATGTTTTGCACTAAAGAGAAGTGACAAATTACCATGCAATACATTACGTCATGGAATTATGCCTGTGTTATCAGTTAGATTTCATTAACAAGCTATAGTTAGCTATAACAGATCGTGCCCAGATATCTTCATAATATTTTGAAATCCTTAGCTGCATTATGCAAAACCTCAATGAAAATCATGTCACACAAAAATGCAGTTATTGAAAGACAAAGATGTCTAACTCCCATTTAAAGTTTCACCATGGAGCTGCTTCTTCTGGCTCCTCCTTGTCTGCTGCATATGGCAGCCTGCGGCCTTGGAGTGCAAACAGTGTGCGATGTTCCACACTTCTTTTTTCATCAGTTATAGTACATCATCTGTGGATAATTCCACGGATTTTGAAAAATTGAAGATTGTTAAGAGGTAAACAAAGACATTCAGACTAGTTAAATGTGAAATGCTCCATTCTAAAGAAATGTACCATAGTTAGAACTGTTCACAGTGGTGGTGATGGAAACCAGATGCTCAAAGCGTTGAATGCCTCTGAAAGTTATCTCGAAGTTATTGCATGAAGTGGTTACAAATACAATACCTGATGCTTGACATTGCTTTTGTAACATTTTGTGTTAAAGCTTTGGCTAAAATGTATTTTTTAAAAATCTGTTCATGGCGGAGAGGCACATGCAGGCCGTTGGAAAAACTGTACCCAAAGAAAACTTCCAGATTTACCACTATTTTATCATTATCAACATCACATATAAAACTCACACATGGTTAGATTCACTGGTCTTTTTTAATTAGTAAATAAAATGGCTATATTTGTGCTGTAAACATTGTGTTCCCTGGTTCCTTTCACCACCACTGTAAAGAAATCTGAGTTGGTAGTTTCTTTACAATTAACCATTTCACATCACACTACTAGAGACAACTTTGTTTACATCTCTATGACTGAAAAATCAGTGGAATTCCCCTTTAACAGTACACCACATTCTGCTTCATTTTCCAGTGTGAACACAAAGTGACTAATACCAATATGGAAGTACTCAATTTGAGGCACAGGGCTAAATTTTATTTTATTTTTTTTTGTACCTGTCTGTGATTTTGTCACTGGGGCTAAGCAGCAGAATCGTCTAGTGTAAATTAAATCTTTCACTATACTTTTGCATTAAAAACACCATGTAAAAATTATTCTGGTAATGCTGACGTTTGAAAAGGGTCACAGTGAGCTAAGAGTCTTCTGATCTACAGAACCACCCTGTCTGGCTGAGATTGAGAGGATCCAAGTGCAGGAGGCATCTAAGAAGAAACCAGGTACGCCATCACTTATAAATGACAGTGTGTATATGCATGTATTGTGTAATTGTGTAATTCCTGCTCTGAAGCAACAGGAGGCACTGTAAGGGGTTGATTATGCAGATTATAGACCCCGTCTGGGCTTAACTACTAATTAGTGTGGGATTACAGGACGAGCTAGCTACATAGAGAGAGAGAGAGAGAGAGAGAAAGGGAAGGAGAGAAAGAGAGAGACACACACACACACACACACACACACACACACACACACACACTTAAACACACAGAGGCAGGGGATTAGATTTCTCTCAATTTAACATTTCCCCCAGGCATGTTGTCTATGTGTTTGTGTTTGTGTGTGTGTGTGTGTGTGTGTGTGTGTTTGTACATGTGTACAAGTGTGTGTGGGTTTGTTTATTGACAGATGACAGCAGATTCACACCTAGCGGACTGAAGCTTGAGTTCTCTTTATAAAAAGCTGAGGCATAGGGAGAGAGGGATTACCTGTCAGACTATTCCCTCTCTCTCTCCATCTTTCTCCCTGTGTGTGTCTCTCTCTTTCTCTCTGTCTCTTTTGCTTCCTTCTCTCATATTACTCCCTCCCTCTCTCTCAGCTGGTTTGTCAGACAGCTGTGTTGAGCTGTAATGTTGAGTGACTGCTTTGTATGACAGCAGCCCCCCGGGAGGCGGGAACAGTCAGCCAGTCACAGTGCTGTCGTTGGTTTGTTTGCGCTGTCAATCTTTGTAGCCTATAGACAACAGAGAACTGACGTCTTTCTCCCCACTGCATTCTGTTCTAGTCTAGTCTGTTCAGTTCTATTTTGTTCTAGTCTAGTCTGTCATTAATCAATTAAATCCCAATTCTATTCTATTATTCTGTTTTTTTTCTAGCCTGTACTTATTCTAGTCTAGTCTAGTCTATCTTATTCTATTCTATTCTATTCTATAGTATCATGCTGTATAGGGCTGAACTATTTCGTTTTCTAAACAGTGAATTGAGACATTCTTTTATCAACAACCTGCATCAGTATTTGCCAGTTGCATAAACAAACCAACATGAGTTGCTTGACTATGTGTTATATGTGTGTTGCATTCTGTTAACTCATTACTTGAAGTTCACTAAATTAAAAAATTTAAGGCAGCATGATTACTTACTTTTATAAGTTAAAACTCCAAAAACTCTGTTTTTACAGTGTAGACTATGACCTAACATTTTGAAAAGTGCAGGGGCCATGGACCTGGCATGAGTAAGTTTAGTTTTCAGAGGCTCAGTGGCCATGTTAACGTTAGCTAACGTTCCTCTGTTCGTTGCTTAGTAACAAAAGACTTGGAATGCACTTTGCATACATTCCCTAGTTCCTCATGTAGTGATCTACAGCGTTCACTAAATATTATGAGTGCATTGTGGTAGATTATAGTGCAATTGAAAAATGATCAGCGTATATAATAGTACCTTAATACACAAATAGGGATCCACCTCAGTCACAAGTTATTCTATTGCGTTCTATTCTATTCCATTCTATTAAATTCTGTACTGATCTACTTTTTATCTATTAAATGAGTTAATCCTTTTAGTAGTGCTTTAAAGCTCTCTCTCTCACTGTAGATATGAAGAAAGAAATAAGGCGTTATTTGTTTGCCTGTAAACAGAATGATGGCAGGATGCCATTATCTTCGACCTTTCGCTTCACAGAGCAGACATCTGGCTGCTTGGCCGTCATTGGCCAACAAATAGAAGACTTTTCTCTGTCTGCTGATAAGCTTTCTTATCTTACATCTCTAAAGTGCCACTCAGGCACTCAGCCTTCTTCTGACATCATTGTGCAGCAACAATACGGAGTGTCATATTAATAACTTGTGTGTGTGCTTGCGCTTGTGTGTTTGTGTGTCTGGCACAGTGACTGATCAGCAACAAAAGGAAGTACATCAATATTTAACAAGCTGTGTGTGTGCGTATGTGTGTGTGTGCGTGCTGTAGGTGTGTACATCCCCAGCTGTGATGAGGATGGCTACTACAAGAAGCTGCAGTGTGACCAGAGCCGAGCAGAATGCTGGTGTGTTGACCCGCACGGCAATGAGGTCAGCGGATCCCGTGTTCATGGCAACCCTGACTGCAGTGAGTGTCACCTACAGTACAGTATATGTTCTGTGTGTTGTTTCATTCATTTGTTAATTCATTCATTCAGACAGTGAACAAGTCTACTGAGACTGAGGTCTTGTTCACCTCAGTGTCCTGTAAACGCTACTGCAGTGACATAGGAGCATTATAAGAGCATTATAATCAATCCTGTAACAGATGCATGTATAATTTTTTCTGCATTACTCTGGGATAGAAAACTTTAGCAATACTTCTTAAATGATAGATTACAGATAGCATTAGAGTTCACATGGAGTCTGTTAATATTTCGCCTACCTAATTGTACACTAGAACTGCTCTCTATATTTCTAATGCTATCCCTCTTTCTGGTACAGATGAGTTAGTGGGCTACTCTGGGGACTTTGGCAGTGGCGTAGGATGGGAGGATGAAGAAGAGAAAGAAACAGAGGACAATGGAGAGGAAGCTGAGGAGGAAGAGGAGGCAGAGCCTGCAGAGACTGACGATGGAGGATACATCTGGTAGAAAATATTCACAATTGTCATCATGCCTGTCCTCCACGAAGACCGTCTGTCGAAATCAGTATTCATTCATTTTAAGTCTTGCTTGGTTGAAGCTTTTGGAAAGGCTGAACAGGTGATCTGACACATATTTGATATGCATTTAATCTTTTCTTTCTTCTAAATAGCAAAAAATTACACGAAACCAGACCTACACAGCTGTATCCATAAATGATCACAGTTTTTTCTAAACACATGAAACTGATCAGGTGCACAACATAAGCAAAACAATCCAATTCGAACCTCTAAGCATTAAAACCTGCTGCTTATCGTAGCCTATGACTGCCTAATTTGCTGAGTATAATGTGTTAATTGTTGGTTTCTTGAAATCTAAAACTCATGCTGGTCCTTTGTGGATAGGACTTTCGCTGCTGCTAAAAGCAGAACTAGAGAAATCACTCACTGCATCTGAAAACTACTGAAGAGCTTAGCAAACTGGGCTAAGGAGCAGTGCAGAAACTCTGTGGGAGGGGAATGTAGAGGGACAGGGACAGGTTTTGTCCTAATTATGTGTCATGTTTTCTTTGCTTGTATAATATCTACACAGAACGTGGACGTGCTGTGCTAGGGAAAAAACACTAGTCTAAACTACTCATTGTTATTAATGGAATCTTTTTCAATTTAATTTATTAAAAATACATTTCCATTACAGACAAACAGTAACATGAAGTTGCCTCAGTAGATTTCACATTATAGGACAGCTTCTCTGTTCATCCTGGTCTACAGTGAAGGTCCATCCACAGCCTCTACAGTACGTCTATGTCTGCTACCTCTGAAGTCACCTATAATAGAAGCAAATCTAACGCTGTCTAGAGGTAGCTGAGTAGGGACACATATCTAGAATCAGGGGTCAGATGTTTCAAACTTTCAGATAACTACAATAAATTTCAGTTTCTCAAGGATAGGAATCACTATAATCACAAATACAACTTCATATACTCGTACATACACATTATCCAGCTTTAAGAAACATTCTTCACAGTCTCTCCCTCTAATGATGAATGTGCCATGTGTTTTGGTTGCTTGAATGTGCATTTTCTTCTTGTTTTTCTTGCTTTGTGTAAACTGTACTTGAAAGCTTATATTTTCAAAGATACTGAAGCTGTTTTTGTTCCCTGTATACACCATTTGCAAGATAAATTAAATTGTTTTTAATATTGCATGTTAGTTCAGAAGAATGTACCTTTACTGTCTGAACACTGAATACTATGGCCCTCTAATATTCAATACTCTTGTTCTTTTTCCAGCAAATCTCCGGAAAAATGATCTCGTTATGCTTATAGGATTATGATAGACAGTAAGATTTACATGGTGACATCAGTAAAGTCCAAACAAAATGAGGGGCTGAATCTTGAGAAATGTTATTGTGAATAATATATATTATTGAACTGTCTTTAGATTGTAATATATGTCTTTCATTAAATTAAAATATATATATACTCTATATTGTATGACATTTCGAAGGGAAATGAGGAAGGAAATGGCCTTCGACAGATTACTGCTGAATTGATCAACCTAGACAAAGTCTTTCAAAGTCACCCACTGTCAGCCGCAGGTTTAAATTAGTTGAAATGTTAAGCAGGATCAGTTGTTCGCTGCCTGGACCCCAGGCTGGTGTTATCATAGCCCTAAGGAATGATATTAAAAGATGCCTGAGGAATGATATTAAAAGTGATGAACACATCACGGATGCCCTGCAACGCGTTCATTATAATGAAACCATTTCTGTTGTGAATGTCAAATTTTAATGAGGCTCTCGTCTCCGTTTCTTTCATGAGTCTGTTGAGATAAAAAAGAAAAAAGATCTTAAGCCTTCCACCACGCAACGTATTGTAAAATCTTTGGTGTCTGGTGCAATTTATTGTGGTCATGCTAGCAGCATCACAGTTTGTACATCTGGAGTTGCTCTTGCATTGTGGTCTGCAGTGCTGCTGGATTTGGTTGAATCAATAACGGTAACGTAAAGCAGAAACGGCAGGGAATCAGAGAGAGAGACAGCAGTTGGGATTCTGTAGCGATGTGCTTTCATGCAGTCTAAATTAAAGCATGCTGGAGAGAGACGAGCATGTAGTTCTGAGACACTGTGCACATGTTTGGTTCTGCATTCAGATCAGATGGTAGCAGTAATCTAAAAAAATTTCACACGACAGACACATTTACAGCAGCTCTGAACAGATAAAATTGTTCTAAATGGGACCATGAAGCGTTACAGAAATTTGAAGACATCAATGTTATGGTTTTGTAGTACAAACCCACAAAAACATCCACCTCTTCTCTCACGTCACAGTATACTGAACTGCTACTGTGTATTCAGTGCTATTTAGCTCAGCCCATGACATCTTTTCCACTGTATTTGATATTTGATAATAAACTGGCACTGGAACCATTGTATTGTTGGGTTCTTCATGTTAAAGTGTCTGCAGTTTGTTTCACAGGCCAATTTTTATTTGACCATTTTCAACAGTGTTACTTTATCTTAACAAAACATCACCAAGGCAAATATGCTACATTCAAGTCAATTGAGTCATGTCAGTAGATACATAATAGATACAGTGATATCCAAAAGTTTGGGTGCTTCTGGTCAAATCATATGCTTTGTTGAATTTCTAAGTGTACATACGCATCCTCTACAGAGAACACATCTGCACATTTTAATGTACAGTTGTTGTTTATTTGCTGATTTTAAAATATTGGAAGAAAAAATGAAGGATAAAACCTTGCCTGTGCAAAAGATATGACACATTTTATATTTATGCATTGCATTGTGAATGCATGATTTCTTGTTTTTGTTACCTATAGATGTGTTATTTTCACTTAGAAAACCAACAGAACATGTTATTTGAACAGGTATATTCAAACATTTGTATCCATAATGTGTAGACGTACATTTAATCGGGACAATTTAAATAAACATTTGAATACTTAAATGTTTTTCTCAAGAATGGAGATCCTATTGTATATGGGTTTTTAAAGAACCATTTAAATAAGGGTCCACTATCATATTAGAACCTTTTTTGGTACTATATAGAGCCCTTTTTTGTTAAATGTACACTCTGAAAGATGGTGCTTCAATGGGTCTTTAGTAAAGAAAATGGTTCTATATAGAACAATAAACACTCAATCCTTTGCATGATGAAAGGGTTTTTCAGATTAATAGAAAATTTGCATGAATGTGCTATTGATGGTTCTATATAGAACCTTTTTGAAAAGGGTTCTATATAGCACCCAAAAGGGTTCTTCTATTGTTACAAACTTGACAGATTTTCAAAAGGGCTCTACATAGAACCATCTACAGCACATAACCTTTTCATGATGCAAAGAGCCCTTTTATTCATTGAGTGTTCATGATTCTATATGTTGAAGTCGAACTGTTGAAGCCCCATCTTTTAAGTGTGTAGGATTACCTGTAATTCTGTTTTGAAGTGGGCTGTTCTTTCCTGGCAAATGTCCCTGGTCTCTAGCTGCCCCCTGTGGAGCCGAATGAAACTGCACTAACACAAAGCACCTCTCATTACTTTCCACGCAGCTGTGTGATGTATGTATTATTGCACGTATCTGAAAATTCATGCTGGTATGGACAGCCTTGGCAAATGAAGCAAAATGATCCGATTTAAAGAATGAAATTCAACTGCTAATTTAATTTCTGGTTGCTCTACATTTGCTGCAACTGTTAAATGAGAAATAATAACTGTAATGAATGCTATTAGTGTTTACAGCTTCATGGATTAATAGATTTTGATGTAGTAGAAAAATTGATGACTGTAATGTGCTGCCGTAAATTAAACTGCTGAAACGCAGTGCTTCTGATGATTGATCTGAAACTGCTGAGCTATTTTCTGTATCACGCAGAATTTAGAGAAGCCATGCCCAGAATTACGCCAGTTAGATTAAAAAAAAGTACTTGGTCCAAAAACTGTTTCCCTATAGAGCTGCAGTGGAACAACAAGGGAACTGAAGGTTCTTAGATACTACTCTTCTCCTTTTGGGATCTTTTTGGCCTACAATAACAAGAAGTAAATGTAAATTAGTAGTAGATGTAAGGGTTATCATTTGAAAATTCTTAAAAAAAAAAAAATTCCATGATATTGTACTTGCGGTGTAACTAGTCACCACTCACCTGTGCCAAGACAGCACCCTCTAACAGTGGTGTGTTTCCCATTACACGGAGCACTAGTCCTGGGTAAAATACTATAAAGCTAGTTTCATCAGAAGCCTTGGCCTGCATTCACAAAGCTTCTTAAAGCAGATCTGCTGATTTAGGAGTAAATGATTCAGATTCATGTCTTATTTACAATGTTCTTACTGATAGGAACAGATCCTAGATCAGCATTCCTAATCTGAGAAGCTTTGTGAATATGGGCCCTGGGTTAAGAACTAGATTTGCTCATTGCAATGCTTAATAATTTGTAGGTACTTTTGTCCCAACAAGTTGTGTTAATTTATTGTGGGAGGCCCTTGGCCAATTTCAGATGAGATGAAGGTGTGATAGAGTACAGTCTTCCTTTAATGCGGCACTGATCGCTCATGCTCATCATCCTTGGTAGGTAATAATTTTTGGACAACCTGGTCTTTTCTCTTCATTGCATTACCTTCAGTCTGCCATTTCTTTGGAACACCGCACACAATTTGTGAAATTTTCACTTGCACTGCTCTGGTATGTAGTGACATTTGTCACTCTATAATCATCCATCCCTGAAAGGCAGGGCATTTTGCATTGGCACAGTGTGGAACAATCTCCAATTAACCTCAGAGTCTATTTTAAAGCAAAACCAATTTTCCTTGTTTTTTTTTCCTTTCCTGAAAAGCTTATTTCATCTGCAATTACAGAGCATGTCCCAAGTTCTATGTTAGGGTAGTGCAGTTTAAAGCTGAACCCAAAGTGTCTTTAGTGAACTCATCTCACTGTTACTTCACACTGAGCCCAAATTTGCTAATCCATGACTCCTGCTGACTGCACTGGAGCTTAAAAGGTGAATCAGAACACAAAAGCAGAATTTGATTGTTCAAAATATTTATAGATGACTTTCTTGTACATAATCTTAGATATCTGGATTTAGTTCAAGGCTATGTAGTGTAGAAACACATATGGACTTCACTGTACAATATTTACAGCTGTGCAAGTTCAAACACTTAAATAAGAACCACATTCATTAGCTACTTCATGCTGCACATACTCTCCTATCAGTGTTTTAAAACCAAACAGCTGATATTCACAAAATACCTGCAGCATCTCAGATGAATTTTTATACACACAACCCTATAATATAGCAAGAATATCTAGACTTCAACATAATATGAACATTATCTACAATATGACACATATAGTGTACACTTCGTTTTACTTTAAAACATATCAGAGAAAATCAGATTAGTAACGTATTTCAGAGGCTAGCCGTACTTTGCGCATTATGATACAAGGGTGGTCTGTGTAATTCCTGCCCAAAGGCCTATTCACATTTAAACATACATGGACATGGACAAGTTCCCAGTGTAAACATCTGTGGAACATTATCTTCCTTCCAGTGCATTCTTCAACTACTCATGTGGCGCTTAATGTTATTGCTTTATAAATACATACTGACTAATAATGGTGGTACCCAGCGAGTACAGACAAACATGGGCCAGAGGCCACATGTATTTTCACTATTAATCTCAAATAAAGAGGCAAAATAACTATCAATAATGATAAACATTCAAGAGCTAGATACACCATGCACTTTCTGCAATAAATTAAAAGCAAGTACTAAAGCAACAGATAGTAATGTGCAAAAGTCAAAAAGGACAAGAAAATTGTTTTAAGCTGTTTATCTTGGCAGTAAGTGTGCTTTGCCTATAAAACACTATATGACATAAGAATAAATACAAATAATACAACACAAATACAGTACTTTCGTTTGTTGTTCTTAAAGTTAATGTCTTGGTTAAAGGTATATGTTTGGCTCCTGCCTTCTCGCTGCTCTCCAGTCATTACATACGTTTGTCAAATTCCATCAGCAGCACATCTAATTTAATGAAGGATTGATTAGATGAGCTTGTGGATTTTAACAGTAAATACTGGGATTCCTCGAGGAGAATGTGGAAGAGGTTAAACTAACACACTCACAGACATATAATCAGTTACTGAATTCTTCTAGTGTTTTTGTAACAAATGAACACCTACTGCCAAGACACATGGCTTTACATATCATTTTTTCAGATGCCTAAGACCTTTGCGCAGTACTGTATGTCATAATGAATGACGTTTTGCATTAATTTTCAAATGTTCTCAGTTGTCTTTTGTGATTTTTGTCTATTTCTGATTCATAGTTTTGAACTACATTATAACATGTTGGCAGTACGCAGTGATCCTTGGTCAACAAAAGTTGGTGCAGCTACTGAGCTCCAGGCCAAACTGCTGTATCACACCAAATTAAAACTACACCACGACAAATTAGTCACATACACATACAGAACGCAGAAATAGTGTACATACGTGTGATGTGACATAAAGATGGCCCAGATTATAGCATTAAATACTTTTATATGTTTCAGTTTCAGGTGACAATGTAAAATCACATCTGGTATTCCTGGATGGAATGTTGAAGGTTTTGGGCTGGGGAGGGACGGGTGTCTTTAAGCCAAATACCCAGTACTCTTCCTGGGTCCCTTTATGAAGGTGTTCTCTCTCCGTCGCTCATCAGAACTCAGCAATACGAGTCTTTTCAATCAGAAAACTCTCCCCTCAGTCAATGTACTGAGAGAGCCAGCGGAAACCTTCTCCATAGCCCTGTTTCTTTAAGACACTGCACATGAAAACTTCCAAAGGACGCACGTTCAGCTCCTTCAGTGACATGTTTCCCTGGAAACAGAGCACACATGGAGGATACAGCATTTACTCCCAGTACATTATACCATTTCACCAAGGGTGTAACAATGGCAATACAACATCAGAAAAAAGGAAAACGATTTAAAAGTATAAAAATTTGGAAACTAAACTGCCAATAAGCTCACAGAATCTCCCACATTTGGGCACCCCCTGTCAAATTATGGTTCGTCAATTTTCTAAGTGAAAATAAGTGAACACATCCTCTACACCATCAACCAATTTCTATTTATTTGCTGAGTTTAACATAACAGAAAAAATTAAACAGAAAATGTAAGCTTTCACACAGGCCACATTTTATTATTTTTCCCCCCAATATGTTATATTCAGCAAATGAACTGTAATTGCACAATCAACTGCATTAAAATGTGCAAAAGTGTGTTCTTTGTAGAGCATGTTAACTTATTTTCAAATCAACAAAACATGTCATTTGACCAGGGGCACCCAAACTTTTGCATATGTATGCAAGGTTTTATTTGAGGCAGTTCAGATTTTTGTATTGTTTATGGCTCAGTTACACCGTTTTGTAAGATGACTCTTTTGCACAAGGACATGCCACTTAGCACTCTTCGGTAAAATTAGTATTATTGTGAGATTTGTATTTTTCTGTCTAGTATATGATTGGAGCTCTGCAGTATCAAGACATTGTTAATACATAAAATATAAAAACTATAATGGAATCTTGACCTCAGACTTAAAAATTGCATCAAACGTGAAAGTAATCATCACACCCCTCATATTCCACTCGTTCATTCATTTAGAGCAAGTTTAAGAATGGCAGTAATACAACTAACTAACATTCTTATTCTTAGATTTACACACTGAGGTTTTCCATTCGATACAGGATCTACTGTAGTCTGTGTGTGTACGTGTGTCCTACACTGACCTTCCCAGTGGTCTGTCCATCAAGAGCAAAGACTTCTCGTAGCCTCCCTTCACTCACTGCCTCCGGCCGATCAATTTTGTTCCCCAACACCAAGATCGGCACATTAGATATAGTCTCATCTGACAGCAGTGCCTGAGCAGACAAGGGAATCATGTAATGTTTAAATGATACAAGAATAAATAAAAACACTGGACAGCAAAGTTGTGGCTCAGGGCTGTAAAACGTACATCAAGCTCAACCTTGGACTCAGCAAGACGCTCATAATCTGCACAGTCGACAAGAAAAACCACTCCATTCACAGCTGGGAGGTAATTCTTCCACACTCTCCTGGCTGGAAAAATACAGCACAATAGCAACATGACTGGTTCTGATAGTCCATCTGAATGACCACACTTCAGTCCCCAAAACCCAGGAATGTGTTTATTCCATATGTGCGTACTTGGACTTTCATTACAAGGTGGATCAGATGCAGTACCAAATGTTTTATAACAGTCATTCACAACAAAATCAGCATGAATGAGTCTGACCTTGTACATGACCACCAAGATCAAATGTGGTGAATGTCATCCCAGCAATGGTCAGCTCTTCTGAGGCTGAAAAATAATTAGAAAGAGACCAATCAAACACAGAAGGTTATAAACATATTAGACAATTTTCATGAATACTGCAAACAACAGCTAATACACTGGAAAGATTGATTTATGTTCTTTACTAGGATGTAGTGTAGGCACATGCTGTCCCAGTCTGTCATCCTTCAGCATGTGCAGCAGAGTCGTCTTTCCAGCATTATCCAACCCTAAGAACACCAGCTTCCCTGATTTCTTATATAGACCTGTCATTTAACCAGAAACCAGACCTTCCTGTTAGGACATAACCTCTTTGAACTGATTAATATGGTAAATGGCTCTGGAAATACTATGAGAGTAAACAACAGCTGTGAAACATCATACGTACATTAATTTCCAATTAATTTCAAAACTATAAACTTACCAAGGAACTGTAGTACACCACTAAACCCTCTGTAGATCCAGTCAAATATAAATGACATTGCGAGGTGTGTCTCCTGCAAGAAATAAAAGAGGCTCTCGACAAGGAACCCAGGTGCATTCTTGTTTAAAGGGCACTCTAACCAAAATTAAACATGTAACCATTACTATATCTGTTGTAAAAATGCATGCTGGCCACCCACAATGGTCTCTAGAACAAGATTTTCCAGCTTCTAGTTTACAGACTGGGAAAACCCCCTCCTGATAATGCATCTTGAAGGTGGGGAGAATTTTAACAGAACTACCAGAGCTTTGGGGCGGATACTTGAGGATAGGCTGTTTAATGTGTCCACTAGTTTCCAGTAACTTTTCTCATCTGTACACTAGCAGTGAGGATTTTTTTATTGCTGTAGGGAGACTGGTAATGATTGTATGATGTTTTTTGTGTAATGTATTGTTGTGAGAGAACACTGCAAATGAAAACACACACACACACAAAAAAACACAAAACTGAATTCTGTCAAAACGGATGAAGCTGAGGGAAGCAAAGCTGCGTTACAGAACATGTTACATAACCTGACAAATAATACAATAATTGCTAGTTTTGGACGATAACGCTCCTTTAAAGGGCAAGACGTGCAATAAACGTGACGAAGGAGAAAAGAGTGCATTAGGAGGTCAGACAACAACTTTAGAGCAGCTCGTCAACTAACTTCCTCAGCAGGTGTGTCTCATAACAGTTAGGATTTGTAGTTAGCTAGGTTAGCTAACTCAACTTACATCCTATCAGAATATCACCAGCTGTGCTCGCACCACTGTACTCTCTCAGGCGGCAGCGAACACTCACTCACAGACGCATATACACAGGTTTTCAATAATGACTAATAGCCTAGCTGGATGATTTGGCTGGCATTCATTGAAGTAAAAGAGGTAATACTGTGTCTCAAGCCCCAAACCGGCGAACTATCCTCTTAGAAAAACTAAGAAAACTGTCAGAAAGAAAACCTAGCCAGTCTATCTGTTAACGTTAGCGCTCATTCTACTAAATTAAGCCCGATAACGGTAGCTCAGTTATTACTCTAACTAACTGCTCATGCACATTAAATCTCAGGACACTGGAATTACAAGTAAGACACTGAGAGTTCAGGTGTAAATAATACCCTCCTACACAGGCTGCTATTTCTCGGTTTAATCCGAGGCCTCGGCCCTGTTATCCCGTTAGCTGCTATCAATAGCTTGTTAGCTAGCTAACGGGCTAACACTAGTCCTCTGCTGTTCGTCCTCGGCGAATCGTCAGAATTCATCACAGCAGCATTTTTATGCGCTCTCACCTTATTTTCTGTCCTCAGTAACCGTTAGCACAGGCTGTCACTGCGTCCTCGGCTGAGCTCTAATGTCCAGTACTGGTTTGTGTTGTGAAGGAATAAGCCGTTAGCTCGCTCGCTAACAGCGCCGCTGAGAGGAGACGGCGTCCGTGGTAACCATAGACAGCAGTGGCGATCGATTCGCGAACGAGTCCTTCTCTTTTTAAGTGACTCTTTTGAATGAGTGGGCAATCGATTCGCGACCACGACCAAATAATGTAGTTAAAGCAAGAGAATCTCGATCAATACCCCTTGTTTCCTGCAAAACCGTGTTGTTTAAACTCTGTGTGTCTAAACATGTTACTAAAATTGTACATGTCAGCCAGCCTTTTTGGATTAAAAAATAAAGTTAAACGCATTTCTTAGTACAGTCAAAGAATGTCAAAGTTATTTAAAGTTCATTTCACTACGTTGTTGTCATGTTTGACTTGTTGAAGACGAGATGGGTTATACGGTATGTATTAATCAGTAGACGGTACACTGCAAATGTGCTGCTATATACAAAGAAAGGAATCATCAGCAATCAGTATAAGTTGTTTTGAAGACAAAGCAGTATGAAACCTTGAGGATGAGTTCTGAGGGATAGACATGTTTATAATATTTGCGAAATGTTGCCTTATTGTTTCAAAAAGCTCTGAATGACTGATTCTAATGAACGGAAGTAAAAAATTAATCGGACGTTCGATTCACCGAAACGTACAGTTTAAAGGAGTCAGTTCAGTGAATCAAATTGTCCGCTCGGCGCTTCTTCTCTTTGTTGAAGTGAGGAGTGAGGCGGTACTAGAGCGCTTCAGCGACACCTGCTCTGTGGTGGCCTGAAGGCTCAGCTTCTACTGGGCATCAGACTGTTTTGGTCGACTTTATTGTTTTTTTTTCTGACGTTCACTGTGATAAACACATACATACCCAGAAACACGTACTGTGGATATACAGATTTTGGAGAGAACATTACTGATCATTTGTCTATAATAACAATATTAATACACTATTTTCTCCAGCACCGATGATTCTTGAAGACCCGTTTCATTGTCACCACAGCACAGTATTCTCTAAATTCATTACGATTTTAACTGTGGAAAGAGCCCTACGCACCTTCCTTAAATCTGTAGATTTGCTTCTGTATAGTGTGTATAAGTTTTATCAATGGATAGTGTGGGGATATGATGTCTATTCCTATCAATATGTTTTCATAAAACACATAAATGTGTTTGCTGTGTAGGACCACTTTTATTGTGAAATGATAAACATTTCAGTTTAAAAGGGTGTTAAGATGTGTTGGAATGCGCCGCCTCATCTAAATGTGCATTTGAATGAAAATCCGGTCTCCTGTCTATTATAATAGAGTGTAATATATTCTGTTATTTAGTCAGCTCTTTACTCAAATTACACAAATAACCATATAATCATAGACCTCTGAATCAGTGTGAAATTGAACTTTTTTAGATTTTTGTGGCAAATGTGGCTCAATTACTGAATTAAAGTAGACCTGAAACCTTTGAAGACCATCATAAGTTAATGCAAAAACCTTTTCTCATCAACAGCTTCAATGAAGGGTTTGAATGTTCACTTCTTGTTTGCTTTGAGAAGTTTCTGTTCTCTTTTCACCAGATCAGCATATACAATGTACACATGCACAGTGGTTATGGCATTAGGCATGAAAGTGCTGATTACTGTAGTAATAATAATAAAAATAATAATGAGAAGAATCTTCATCATGATTTCATAACTTTCGTATGTCTTCTCAGTCATGAAGTCAACAGAGATCTGTCAATGAAGAATGGCTGAACAACAGAAAGTTAAACTATTATATTACCAAATTTGAGAATATTTAAGCAATAGAACACGAGAGGGAGTGTGTTATCGCAAAATAACATCACGGCTGTGATTTGGTCACCTTAGATCATCACAGCTGTGATGTTATTTGCGGTAACACACGACCTCGAGTGTTCTATTGCTTTCATACAACAGTTAAATAAATAAAGTAAGAAATAAATAAATTGGGCCGTGAAGGTGGCATTTAATGTTTTAATGTTAGCAATTCCTTCCGCCAAATTATAGTTCTTTAACAAGCAGCTTGTTGCTACGTCAGAGTAAGGAGCTCCGCTCACTCGCTGCACAGCCGGCAGTTCATTCTCCAGCTCCACATAGACCAACTGACAGTTTCAGAATTCAGTGTAATCTCATCTTCAGAGTCTGACTAAATCGGCTGTCGGTCAAATGTGATCTTAAATGTGTCCATTTTCTGTTTGTGGCAAAGTAAGAAGTAAAAACTTTCAAATGGCTTGAGCGTCTCTTACAGCTGTCAAACTCGTTGCTCAGCAACGGCGTCTCAGCGGAGTGATACAGTGTTTGTGAAAAACCCGTGACGTTATGGCGAAATAACAGCACAGTTAGAACGCTTCTCAACCAATCAGCTTGCGTGGCCAGAACTAACTGTTATATAAAGTATATTATGACATAATAGAATATGTCATTAAATAATAGTCTAACCTCCATAATTCAGCTTTTCTTTACACATACACACACACACACACACACACACATATTTGAAGTTGTGTGTGTGTGTGTGTGTGTGTGTGTATCGCTGTTGTTGGAAGAAAACCTTGTATTTCCATTTTTTGATGTTTTTCAGTTTTTTACATAATTTGAAAATACTTGTTGTTCTTTAAATTGTGTGTAAATTTGGACTAAAAGAAATGACCTAAATGACTTGAAATAATTCTGGTTCCATTGACTTACATTGAAAGTAAATAAGGTTTTTAAAAATTATTTAACCCCCATTGACAGACAAATTCAAGCTTTTATGAAGACACAGACAATTTTTAAACTGCTTGGTTAAAAATTGATCGACCTGTTCAAATTGATAGTAAAATGTATGGTGTCGTATTTCTGAGTAAAAGGATATGTTTTTAATGCAGCCATGTCAGTATTATTCAACCCCTATGTAATATTGCTGGTTTTTAATCATTGCCCTCTCACAAACCTCTAACCTTGTTATAACATAACATAAAAGTTTGGACACCCTTGCTTAAATATATAAATGTGTGCCAAAGTTATGGCACATTTAATATTTAATGTTTTTTTCCTCATGCTAAATGTTACATGTTAAAGTCAGCAAAAAATAGAATTTGACTAAAATTTGCAGAAAATGCCATATTTAAACATATTCTCTGTAGAGGATGTTATGTTCACAGAGAACATCAAAAACATATGCAAACTGACCAGGGGTGTTCAAACTTTTGTATATATAAAATTTTCAGCAATGCCTGTTTGTGTTAAAACAATACACAACTGTTTTCCCAAACATGACAGAAAAGCTTTATTAATTTCTGATAGATGTCCAAACATTTTGAATCCTCTCAGCAAACAGTTATGGTCAGTAGCTGAACAGAGTGGAGTTCTAATATTAATTTATTCCCATCTACAATAAGTAGTAAGCAATTTTCCCAGTTAATTAAGCAAATGTATATATCTGTAAAAGTCTTTTTTTAATGGATCAGAAAGCACAACTACAGCTTAAATACATTCACCATTTCAACTGGGTTAATGACATGAATCTAAATCATGTTATCATCTTTGTTAGCTGCTGTCCCTCGATGATTATTTACTGTAATAGTACCATTTGTCAGCTGGAAAGACAGAAAAGAAAAATATGTCATCAAATGAAAAAATGAAATCAATCGGTTACAATTTTTTTTGATAATAGAACATGTCATAAAAACAAAGTAAGGTCCAAGAGACTATTGATGTCTGTATTGATGGCACTAACTGTAGAACAGTAGCAGATGCTGTACATCAGGGTTGCACAACTCCGGTCCTGGCAGGCCGGTATCCAGCACAGTTTGGAGGTTTCCCTACTCAAACACACCCACTTAACCTGGCAATTAAAAGATAAGTGTAATCATCTGTGTTGGAACAGGTAAATCACCACACTGCGCTGGACACCAGCCCTCCAGGACCAGAGTTGTGCACCCCTGCTGTACATGCATTTGCTAGTTTTACCCTGTGGGAGGTAGGAGAGAGAGCTGAGCGTGTTGTCGAGCAGGATTACCTACCTGAGCTTGGGATGGGCTCTGCTTCATCATACGCACTTGCCTGAGAGGGAAAAAATAGATATTGGATTGATTTTATTGCAAACTACTGGAGTCATTATGAAAATAATAGTGAAGATATTCTGTAACTCGGTAATTATGAAAACCCAGTTCATGATTTTCGGAATCTTCTTCTTCCAGAATACACTGAAAAAGTAGTGATGGCTGAATACTGAGTACACTGTCCTAATTGTATTCAGTAACATATTCTGGTAAAAACATATTCAGAATACATTTGGAAAACATTTAGAATACATATTGACAAGTATATTATATTTAATTCACACTGTTCCTCGCTATTACTGGTTAGTAGTTTTCCTCATATTATTCTTCTATTTACATGTTCCATGAAAAATTCTCCATCATTTAAATGAAATTTTCAACATTATTTTGGCTCTTATCACCTGCTTCACTCCACTGCTGCTTCCATAATCCCATTATCATCTCATGAACTAAGCAAACAATTCACCATATCCCAATAACAAAATTTGAGTATAATGTTGGTACTTCTCATGATCTCTTTCAGGTAATGTATGTAACTTGTCACGAAATGCATACCTGACGCCAGTGCAACACCAATATTAAGCTTATCACTCATGAACATGTCCACTACTGTGGAGACTGTTCAGTTCCATCAGAGCTCAGTAACACTGAGATTAATAACTGATCATCACATTGATTTATCAGTCTACTCAGACTTTAGCAGGAAATTCAGTGTTTGTAAAGAAGTTTATTTTTTTGAGGTCTTCTTTAGAGTACTTCTTTACACACCATGCTCTGATTTAAAATAGTTCATAAACAAGCATTGATGGTGTTTCTTTTCAAGATGGTGGATATTTTTTAAATTTAGTGAGTAAATATTCTAAGAGCATTCTCCTAAAAATGTAAAAAGTAACTGAATTCTGAACACTTCCTTTACAAAATGTAATTGGGACTGAATACATACTTAATTTCTGTATTCTGAATATGTATCCTGAATGGTTGTATTGTGTTACTTCACAACCCATTACATTATTAAATGATTGACTAAATGTTTCCTCATTTTCCTGCCTTTTTTGAGTCTGAATGTAAGGCTGCTGCAGGAGCTGAAGACACTCACTGAGTCTACGATGGCTTCGGTATCACTGCAGGCACAGATGAATGGGCTGTCTGTGACAGAGGTGTTCATGCTGGAGAAGACATTAAAATAAAGCAGAAACTTTGCAATAACAAACCAAACATGCATCTTAGAAGAAAGTCAGTATACATCAAACATACTATTTCAACTGCACACTGAGCAGCTCATCCATTAAAAGTTTTTTTGTTTTATTTTTGTTTTATTTAATGCTGGCTTACTCACTTATACCATAATATTAATTAATTAATTAATTAATACTGTACATGGATACATATTCATGAGATGTTGATTATCATACCAGTTGAGCTCTCCTGCTTCAGTCTTCTTCATTATCAGTGCTTGCCAGTATCCATGGGTATCTTTTACTGTCTTAATGGCAAAGTCCTGCAGATGAACAAACACAAAATTCACTCTCATTATTTACCTTATTCTGACCTACAACTAGCATGCATTATGTTATTTGTCACTTGTAATATACAGGGTGTCCACATCATTTGAGATGTGAATATCTGAGTAACTACATGTCCGAGGCAAACAAAATTAAATTGTGTTCATGTTGTTCATGTTGAACAATACAAGATTTATTTATCAAAATTCGAACAAGAAAATCAGAGGGATGTAGATTTTATAACCAATTTCACAAAGCTTCACAAATATAATCTCGTCCTGATACCGGTGGTCATCCTCTTTGAATTTTTTGTGCCATGTCCAAATCTGCTTTCCAGTTGGTGCATTTTTATCGAATTTTCTTGAAAATGCACCCTGCACACTCTTGTTTGTTTGAGCATATTCTAACACACAAAATGCCTTTTCATTTCTAGTGAACGCCATTCTTCAACCTGAAAAAAAAACATTAAAAATTAAACTTGGTTAGTTTTTACACATTTTGTTCAAATTTGAGATCATTTGAGGGAGAATTGGCTACGTTATTAGACTACGAAATGATGTCAATTTTTTTGGGACACCCTGTATTTGTAACATTCTGTGGTGCAGCACTGCATCGCTCGGCCTCAATGGTTTGACAGAATTCAAATTTTGTGTCCCTATTTGTTTTATTTAGGTCTACAACTACTAATTTCCATCATCAGCTAATCAGTTAAAACTAGTTAATTTACTTGTTACCAAATGAAGTTGATGGTTGATCGGAAGAGCCATTTTTTACAGTGTAGTTTTGTCCATCAATGTTTTCTCACTACACTACCCAGCATGCATTATGTAAATATGTCATACAATCATTGTGGATCCCTCTTCAGCAATAAAGAAATCTGATGTACCACAGATGTAAAGGCCAATAAATGCAGACGTGAAGCAGTACTAATAGTATTAGTACACTGTAAAAAATGGCTCATCAGATCAACCTAAAAAAATGACTTCACGTGGTAACAAGTAAGTGAACTAGTTGTACTCAACCTAAATAAATACTTTGAATAAATGATTCTTTCAATCAATGTATTTTTTTTAGTTGAATAAAACTAGTTCTACTGCTTGTTACTACATGAAGGCATGTTTTTAGGTTGATCTGATGAGCCATTTTTTACAGTGTAGTAGTAGCAGTATTGTTGTCTACATTCCTCTGTCAGTCCATCCCAAAATTCCACCTACCTTTAAGATATATCAGAATGGGGGTTTCCTAGACTTTACACCAAAAAATCTCTCTCAGGACTATTGTGGCACTGCTGTCTGAGGTGAGTAAGCATGGTCACATCAAATGTAGCATGGTTATTTTTTTATATTGGCTGGAGTGTCACTTATAAAACACTGGAATAATAAATCAATGCTATATTTTAAGGTAGAATTTTTTTTTCAAGCACAAAGTGAATGGATGAGTGTAACTGTGCTTTTGAGTCATCACAGGTCTGCTTCACTTTACCCTGTTCTTGAATTCACCATTAAAGGCAAACTGATTTTCTGGTTTTCCATCTGGTACTTTGTACATTCTGAACCAGTCCACTGTAGCTTCCAGATAGCCCGGCTTCAGCCTCCTCACGTCATCAATATCTTTGAAAATGAAAGAGCACAGCCTTCAGTGAGCTGGAAAGAGTTCTGCGTCAGTGCAGACTGAAGTTTCTCACTCACCGTTAAAGTCGTCGGCCTCAGGGTCCTCGACATTAATGACGATGACTTTCCAGTCTGTTTCCCCCTCATCTATCAGCGCAAGCGTCCCCAACACTTTCACACAGATGACTTCTCCCCGAGAGCACACCTGTGGAGAGCCAGAAATGAGGGAGAAGCACTTAAAGAGATAAAAGCCTGAATGACTCATGCGCTCTAAAATAAATTTGATAAAATTAAACTAAAAAGAAATGTCAGCTGCTTTGCCAGCTCATGAAAGCTCAGTCCTAAAATGGGAGTGAATCACTGCTGTGTAGGAGTTGAAATATGTTTCTTTAGCTGTGGAGGAGACACTGATGCCTGTAAACATTACTGTTGCTCTGTCACTGAATTTCCTTCACCAGACTCTTCTGCCTCATCATTTCTCCTACCTTGTTTCCGATGTCACATATGTCGATGGGGTCGTTGTCACCACAGCACCCTGTGTCTTCGTCTTTGTGTCCTGGATCCTCCCATGTCTAAAGGAAACACAGTCATAAGATGACCATTTGTCTTGCAGTTTTAGGACCTTGTCACTATAACAAAACTGAAGAGAAATTTCAAAATAAAATTAATTGAAAAAAAAAATCACCTACTGTGTCAGTAACGCACGCAGGTTATGTACAAAGCTTTACACAGAAATTTTATAACTTGGAGTGCAGCTATACCGTTTAAGCATTCTCTGTTCTATTCCACCTACACTATGTGTTCAAATGTTGGAAGCAGTTATAAAACCAATTTTAAAATTAACTCAGTGTGCTCATCCTTTGAAATTTCATAGCTTTTAAATAATTAGTAGTAAGCTATAAATAAAAAAGAAGAAGTTGAAGAATGTTTAGAAGGGCTCATATCATGGAAAACCAAATGTTGCCCATTTTAAAAAATAATGTAGTAAGTAAACATAAAAGTTTCCAAATGTACCATTCACTTTCCTTTACATACAGTCCAAATCTGTAAAATAAAATGCAAAAATACTCCCTTTAAATACATTGTTTTTGTGATGTCACTCAGAACAAAAGGATTTACAAATATATACCTACTCAGCCTACAGCAGTTTAGCACTTCCCATTTGTTGAGGTTCTAAGGAGTGCTTTTTTAAAGAGGCTCAATACAGCATCATTTACAGGTCATTTACATATGTGAGTCTTAAAGGCACAGCAACAAAAACAGCCTGTGTAATTCTAAGGGATAAAGGGAGGCTGGAAAATGATATAAAAATGAATTGCAACTGGGTTTGGTACATAAAACCACACAGATATTATAAGTGGACATCAGTGAAAAAAATAACATGCAAGAAAAATGTAGAAAATGGTTTCTTTAATGACTCAGAAAGCTGTATAACATTGAGAATGAAGAGTGAGGACATCCAAAATGCTTTGGAAAATCTTGAATTAGATAATATGACCAAAAGTGATTGTAAATAGGAATTAATGTCAGTAAAAACAAACAAACAAGGAAAAGAAAAAAAAACATGTATCTCCAAAATGGTAACTTTAAAGCAGAAGGCAAAAGAATACGTATGTTTCAATGCAAGTTAATATAATAAAATTATATTTCAGGTAATTTTGGAGCATGTCTATTGGTCAAATTATCATGAAATGTTCCCCCATTGTAAAGGACAGCTGCTGTGCTCAAATGTTGTTGGTTTTGAAATAACAGTCACAATAACTCAAAGTCCTTGAAATAATAATAAAAAAAGTCTAAGAATACCTTTTGCTGTCTACCTTATAAGACTTACATCCATATCTTTTGAGTTATTACTGTATATAAAAAGAAACACAAATTATTAATTGAAGTGATTCCAAACATGATTTGTTTCTCTCTCTCTGTTTACTCAGTATGTTCACTATAATGCTGTAATGCATGTGCTCATTTCAATGCTTCAAACAAGCTCTAAGAGTGGTGGATAAACAGACCTGAGGGATAGCTCCATAGTTCCAGATGTAGCCTTTATGAGGAAATACATTACACACATAACGCAGATTTCCTTTCTTCACATCTTGCTTTAGGGGGTTCAGGGGATCTTTGGTTGCAATCTGGGGGAAAGAACAAAGAACAGGACCGTCATACATGCCCAAAAGTATCCCAACACTTCTTCTAAGTAGAGAATTCAGCTACTCTAAGGCGCACCTATTACTGACAAAGGTATTCGATTGCACCCCACAGCTCACACTAACTCCATATAAAAGCATCACCAATGTAAAGGTCTAAGGCCACCATGTCCATTGAATCGTATATCATCGATTAACTTTGGGAAGAGTTGGAGTGGTGTTTGTGATCCAGAACTAATCACCCAACATCAGTACCCGACCTCATACCTTATGATCATGTGCCTGAAAGCAATCAAATCCTCACAGCAATGTTCCAACATGTAGTGTAAAGCCTTCCCAGAAGAGAAGGAACTCCCTATTAATACCTTTAATTTCAGAAGAAACGTTGGATGAGCAGGTGTCTACAGAGATTTGAGTATGTAGTATATGATTTTGCAGAATAACTAAATGATCAATCACTGAGAACGACTGATGGTCATCACCACATTTTGGAAACTGGTACAGCTGAAGAGTTTAATTCCAAAATGCTGTACATCAATTTATAACCATTTTGGATGTAATGAGTTTGTGAAAAGAATAACAGCTGGAGTATAACAGAAAATACATTTTTATTTCTCTTATAAAAGTGGTATTAATCATAATGTAGCATAGATATTTTTTGTATGTGTGAAGGCCACCATTCCCAACTACATGACTATACAAGAAAAAAAATAATGTTGTGAAAGTGGTATAAAGTGTTTTAGAATGAAACCTTTCAATTGTCTACAGTTAAAAAAGTAGCACTTTTTATTAGTTATATCCTCCTGTTTGTGTTGCCATTTATGCCTATTAAACTGTTCTGAGCAACTGTTAATTATATTCCTCTTGGCAGAGTTTAAAAAAGAGCGTGAAAAACAGGGGAAAATCAATGTGAAATTACAGAGGACTGCACTCTAATGCTTCAGGCAGAAGAGAAAAGAAAGAACGGAATTGTCAAGGATGTAGTAAACACTCCTGAACGAGTGGACAGGATACAGATTAGGAAGCTTTAATGTGGCTGAGTTTCAAAGGGGATCTAGTCTGGAAACGGTTTTCACACGGAATACAGCTTAAAGAGTGACCTTTGGACCTATGAATTAATTAACTGTGGCTCACACTAGATTTTCCACGAAACAGATTCAAATAAAAATCTACATACCTTGGCCTCATCTGCATAAAGGGGAATGTTATGGAATGGAGATATGTATTTCCCCTCTAAAAAAGTAGCACATCTACTGTTGATTAATAGGATTGGATGATTTTTTTAAAAACTTTTTCCAGAAAGGACATGATTTAAGATTTGAACTGATAAGGGTCTTCCGAAATTTCACTAAACTGTATCTAAACTATCACACAGGGAACCTTAGGGGAAATATTTTGCTTCTGTTTGCTTCAACAAGTATCCTTGCCATCACAACTGCTGTACACTTAATAGAGCAAACATAGATTCTAACTTTATATTATCGAAAGATAACAATATCTGTCAGTGATATATATAAGGAATAAGAGTGATTCATACCTCCATTTTTGCATTGGTCCATCTGGGAACCTCTATAACTGCATGGAAGATATTCTGGTGAAAATCATTGAAAAGCTTGTTAAGTTATGAGGAATGTCATAAGTTTTCAATGGTCAGGACCCCCACAGAGCAGGTATTATCTGGGTGGTGGCTCAATCTCAGCACTGCAGTGACACTGATGTGGTGGCATGTGTGTGTTGTGCTGGTATGTGCCGATCAGACACAGCAGTACTGCTGGAGTTTTTAAACATCTCAGTGTCGCTGCTGGACTGAGAACAGTCCACCAACCAAAAATATCCAGCCAACAGGGTCCTTTGGGCAGCAAACAACTGATGAAGATCTAGACTCTAGAGGACCGCACAAACTGTGCAGCAACAGATGAGCTACTGTCTCTGATTTACATCTACAAGGTGGACCAACAAGGTAGGAGTGTCTAATAGAGTGGACAGTGAGTGGACAGTGTGTTTAAAAACTCCAGCAGCACTGCTGTGTCTGATCTACTCATACCAGTGCAACACACACTAACACTGCTCTGTAGTGTTCCTGACCATTGAAAAATGGGGTAAAAGAGGGCTAACAAAGTATGCAGAGAAACAAGTGGAGTACAGTCTTTATTGTAGAAGATTGGTGTAAGTAGCTAGATGGTTAATAAAAGGGCATTTAAGCCACAGAGCGACCACTGATGAGATTCCTCCTGTTTGTGTTGCCATTTATGCCTATTAAACTGTTCTGTGCAACTGTTAATTGTATTCCTCTTGGCAGAGTTTTAAAAAAAGCATGAAAAACAGGGGAAAATCAATGTGAAATTACAGAGGACTGCACTCTAATGCATCAGACAGAAGAGAAAAGAAAGAACGGAATCATCAAGGAAATAGTAAACACTCCTGAACGAGTGGACAGGATACAGATTAGGGAGACTTAATGTGGCTGAGTTTCAAAGGGGATGTAGTGTGGAAATGTTTTTCACACGGAATACAGCTTAAAGAGTGACCTTTGGATTACAGGTCAGATATGCAGTTTACTAGCTGCTCAGGAGAAATAGGTTTTGCGTCTAACGACACTGTGGTTAATCAAGAAACAGACTCATCTGAATTCATTAACTGTGGCTCATGCCAGATTTTCCATGAAACAGATAAAAATAGACCTACCTTGGCCTCATCTGCATAGAGGGGAATGTCATGGAATGGAGATATGTATTTCCCCTCTGAGTTCTCTGTGGAGAGGTTTGCATATTATAACATGTTTCTGAGCAAAACGCAGTATCAGTAAGGGTCTCTGAGCTAGCTGAGTGCTTTTTCTTCATGCTAGTCGGTGCTGGTGGAAGGGGGAGGTGAAACACGACATTATTAGTTAATGTTATTTTCCCTGCCCGCTGGTGCACAGTGATGTAAGCAAAAATCAGAAGGTGTTTTAATGCCTTGCAAAAGCCATTATATTTTGAGGGAAGATTAGAGGAAAGCAGGAAATGTATCTTTTAAATGATATGGTATGATTAATCATGTTTGATATGACAAGGCACATGAATTAACAAAATTAAAAAAGGTAAATTCTGATTACAGAATTTAATATGATAAGTGAAAGAAATTCACTTTTTTAGCTGTATTTTTAACTACTTGAAAAATATATACAGACTTTGTGCTCTGGCAAGCTCAGAAAATGTATGGTCCAAAGGAAATGTAAAATGTCAGATAGGAGGTTAGGCCTAATGGATACACAAGGACCCTGATTAGGCACTCTAATGCTTTCCTTTTTTCTTCTACTTTTTCATTTGCTTGAGATTTTTATATGTCGTTTCCCAGGGTAGCACTGCTGTTTGCGCTGTTACTGTCACCAGCAGATGCTTCTTTACAAAGGTTTACCCTGAAGAAGGCTAAATCTATATGGATCTTTTGTACATATCATACAACACTGACATTTTACCCCACTGCTGTGTAGCTAATGAAATGACAAATAATGTATATTGTGATAGAATGAACCAACAATATACTGTTAACACTGACAGTAACTAACTGTAACAGTATCAGTCATCAAAGTCAATCCGCACGTTCACCTCCCACACTTCAATCTACGAGGTTAACTTACTGAAGTAGACTCTGTAGTCCTGTGTGTTGGGTTTCCCTCTCTCCTCTATAGTGAAGCTCATGTTGATGCAGGCTTGTTCTTTTTGTCCAGGCTCCGATGTTCTCCTCTAAAGCCGTACAGAAGGCTGTGACAAGCCGGCAGGCTGGAGTCCTCCTGGACTCAGCCGAGACGTGTGGCTTTTAAGCCAATGGGCAGCCTTCACTCTCCTCCTTATCCAACCACTGACCATGTGTGAATGGAAAAACAGGTAAGTCTCAAAGGAGTGACTCACGTCACCCTGGAGCTGAGGTCAGAGTGGCTTTTGATACAAAATCATGAGCTGTTTTGAACCCATCTGTCCATCTTTTGTTACCAACACTTATAGTTCTTTACTGACTGACCTCTCAGCAATACCTTTTAAAGCAGACTATGAATGACTGAAGGTAAGATTTAAGGTTTACTCATCTAAAGCACATTTACAAATGTGATCTAATGCAAAACCTTAAATCTAAACATTAAAATTGGCTCTATAATGTTTAGATACATTTATCCCGCCTTAGGCCTTTCTCTCTTTCTTGAGGAGTCAGGCATGGATGACAGTAAGTGTGTAACCAAGTGAGTGGCCTCCTGGTTGACCTCACAGGATGAGTCCACCTGGTTGACTGTGTCTCTGCAGTTATGCAGTACAGGCTGACTGCACCAGATGGGTGCGATAGGAGTTAGAGCAAAGCTACTTAAGCTGTACTGCTTGGATTAGTTCTTACGCCTGTAGTTTGACCTCTTAGCTATTTGATTTTACCCTAATTGTTCATTTATAGCTCACTTTTGGTCCTGACGGTGTAGAGATTAAACATTTCTAAGAATTTTAATATACAAGTAAGTGGCTGTAGACATCACTCCTGGGCACAGACGCAGTCTTCGAAGATTGATGCCAGTTGCGAGGAGACTGCAATTTCCATGACTGTTTTCAGCCTGAGGGAACAGTGTGGAAGAACGCAGAACTTGATAGCTGACAGCTGCATTCTCAAACTGATCAAAATACAGACACAGACACAGTCTCTGCTGACAGAAACCCTGTCAAGACAACCTAGGTCTAAAATCATGAAGTAGCTACATGGAATATAGGGAGAAGAGGCCTGGAGAAGGATGTGGAGTGGCAGGGGTTCAAGAGAGAAAAGCAGACACTGAAAGAGGGCATTTGCTTAAATGCTGAAAGACTAAAATGATCACATTATCGAATTTAAATTCAATAATAAAATGTGCAAAATGTCAGGTGCTGTTCCGACAGGTGTTAGGTCACCAGTGTTAGAGCCCCATCTACTGTTGCTGTCTAGTGTTCATTTTTTCACACTGGTAACGAGGGGTAAAGTTCATCGACTTAACAACTGCTAGTAAGATTTCCATACCTCAGTGACAGATAATCATAGGTGCACTTTACCAGATAGTCCAGTAAAAACTACACAGCACATTTATAATGTTTGTAGTTCTGATTGAATTCAGCTGATGTTGATCCCAAGTTTTACTCTAAAACTAGAACAGCCCAGTTAAATAGAGCTAAACCAAAACAAACCAACAGTAGCCACATTTAACCTGTTAATATATTCAACCACACCGGAGACAGATAGACAGACAGACAGATAGACAGACAGACCGATAGATAGGTGTGTTGTACTTTTAAAAACTGCATTGTCGATTTGAAGCTTCAACCTGTTAATATATTCAACCACACTGGAGACAGACAGACAGACAGACAGACGTCTGGTGTCTTATACCTATTATATAAATTATTTTAAGTGATTTTTATTAAATACTTTACTATTTAGCTCTAAAAGTCAGTTGAGCTGTAAAACCGTTTTCATTTCAGGCGATGTGCTCTGTTGTGTTTGCAGGCTTCAGTGATGTCCGGTTGGGGGCGGGGTCTGTTGCTGTGATACGGTAAACTCATGAGTCCGATATGAGGCAGCAGCAAGAACTCGAGAAAACCTCAAACTAGAAAAAGAGTTTTCAGTGTTAGAAATTGAGGTAAGTGTTTCACAGCATAGACTTTATTCCTTCAGTGGATTGAGAACCATTACAAGTCCTGCTCACAGTGTGGTAAGCTCACTGAACCTACTTAGTGATAGCTAGCTAACATAATGCTAACTTACAGCATCAGATGTGTAATGTCAGTTGGCTAGGTTAGCTCGCTAGCTAACAGTAATGGCAGAATGCGTGTAGCTTCTGCAGTACCGTTAGCATTAGTTTTCTAGATCATTTCGGAAATCCTTTAAAACAACGGTCGCTGTTTGAAGCCTGGAGAAGTCGTATTCCCGTCTGCTTTGCAACAAATAATCCGGCGCTCTGTGTTTTTAAACTTATTTTTTTAGTAACTTAAATTAGCATACTAGGTTTTGATAAGCTTACTCCACACATTTGCTTCGTGAAACACTTTAAGGAAAATTCCACACGTGTTTTAACGTTTCTGCATAATTCAATGATAAAGATGTAAACAAAGTCTGAGTGATTTGATATGACATGGTGCATTGTAGATTTCTTTGCAGTGGTAGTGATAGAAACCAAGGATCACAGTGTTTACAGCACAAATATATTTTATATTATTTTATTTACTATCTAAAATGACCAATAAACCAACACTTCTTCAAGAACCATAGTAAAGGCAATGGTTCTTTAGAAGGTTTTTTAGATTTAGAAGCATTAGTTCTGTATAGAACTTTGGGTACTATTTTGCCTAACAGAGCCCTACATGTACTACTCCTCTATGAATATGTTTTAAAAATGTATTTCAGACAAAAGGTTTTACCTATTTTGGGGGCATTAAACTCTTTGGACGTCTGGTTCTTATCATCACCACTGTGAATAAATATTACTTGGAAAGTTAGTGTAAAACAGCATTTTACATCAAACTGCTCTAAATTACTTAGTCTGCACCTTTTAATGCAGAAAAAGTGGTGGAATTCCCGTTACTGATAATAAAATCTTAAAATCCATCCAACTTTAATGAACTTTGCCTTGTAGACCACATCATGGAGATTGTGTATGTGTACACTAAGAAGCGGAGTGAGTTTGGCCGCCAGTGTAACTTCTCAGACAGGCCGGCTGAGCTGCATGTGGACATTCTGCCTGACCCCTCTCTGGCTGCCAACTTCATAGACAGGGATCCCTGCGATGTGCCCATACAGTGCACACAGGAAATGTCTGAGCATGAGGTTAGTATAAAAACATCATTCAGAGCACCATTCATAGCATCATTATACCATACCAGTCCCTCACAAGTCCACAACATAGATTTGAGAGCTCAAGCTCTATAGGAAGGATTCCACATGGATTGAAGAGCAGATCCTAGATTAGCACTCCCACTCTGAGATGCTAATTGAACCTGGGGCAATGGCAGTTTTATCAGCTGCTTATCTAATGCACAGTTGTAATCCTTTTTAGGTGAACACAGAGCGCATTGAGTATGAGACATGTGGGATAAACCATGTGGAAGGTGGGTGGCCAAAGGATATCAACCCCCAGGAAATGGAACAGACCATTCGCTTTAGGAAGAAAGTGGAGAAGGATGAGAACTATGTGAACACTATTATGCAGCTGGGGAGTGTGAGTGCCTTAGCAAAGACCAACACAAACACACAAGCACACATCACTGTATTTACCATGTACACCTTAATTTCAGGTCTATTTAATTAATTATTAATTGTCTATTAATTATTAATGCTTAAAGCTCAAAGTAGTGGGTTCAAAATAATTTTAAGACTGGGAGAATAATAGAAAATTATCAGAATGTGAGACTAAATTGAACCCTTTAATGTGTCAGACACAAGGCCCGTGGGCCACATCAGGCCCACAACACAATCCTATCCGGCCCGCAGAAGTATTTTCATTTTCTATTAATATTAGCCCACTGTGACCCTATCTGGACTAAGTGGTTAAAGATGATTATGATCATGATGATGATGATTAATATTAGCCCGATTTACAATGCACTGCACTACAGATTCTCGTACCCCAACAACAATCTATGGGACAGTGGTTACACTGTCTATTCTACACAGTTCCACCCAGTCATATCACCAAACACACTAGCTGCATTTCAGCTGCAGTTCAACCAACATAAACACCTAATGTTAGCTCAGCAGCTCAGAAACTGAGCCAAAAAATGAATGAACTTGTAGCAAAGAAAAGATGCCAAGTGTCTAGTTCAAGCAAATAGGCAGGTTTAAAAGACCGAGCTCCTGGGGACATTTAAATTTTGAGTATTTCTAGTATTCATGTCATATTTCAAGGTCTCTTTCAAGTGCCTGTATTTTACTGTTGACAATTTGATGTATTTTGAATAAACAATGACCAGTTCAGGTTTTAGCAAAATGTTAGTTAAAATGCAATAAAAACATGGGCGTTCTCTGGCCCTTTTATGGCCCTTTTAGTGGTTGAGTTTGACACCCCTGCTTTACGTGTTAATTTAAGTGCTTGAAATATGCTCTTGGAAAGAAAGTCAGAACTATTGTACTTGGCAAAAGGCCAATTTCCATTTATTTAATTCCCAGTTAAAACAATGATTAAGTACAGGTTACTACTTTTTTTAGAAGATATTTGCAGAGAGGTTAGATATAAGATAATCCAATTCAATGAGAAAGGGGAAAGTCAAAAAAGGAAATGAGTTAAAAAAACAGGAATTTCCAAAACTGGAATGTTTGCGATTACTTGGATCATGTGAAGTAGAAAATACACCCAACATCTAAGACTGAACTGTACAGGTGTGGAAAAATATCCCTGCAGATTTCTTTGAAAAACTGAAAGTAAGTTTCCTGAAGTGAATGGAATCTGTAATAAAAGCAAAAAGTGGACACTAAATTCTGAAACATTGACATATTTAGTTGTTTTTCTGTTATTGTAACTTCATTTAAATATATATTCTCTGTTTTTTTCCTAATGCGAAAAATTAATAACTTGTACTTAATCGCCATTTTGACTGGAAATTAGATGAATGAAGGGTGGTCTCTGATTTTGCTCAGTACTGTGTATGAAAGTGGAACTGATCGGTTTCCTGGGATTTCTCCATCTCAGGCCTGTGTTTCTCTTTACTGTAGCACATGGAGCATTGCATCAGACAAAACAATGCCATTGATATCTATCAGGAGTACTTTGAGGAGGAGGAAGTAGTGGAGGAGACAGAGGAACAGCCCTCTGCCAAAACCATCAATGTGTTCAGGTGACCCTTCTGACAAATTTGACAACTTTATAATTGAAAGAATAGTGCTAATAGAGATAAGCTAATCTGGGTAGATCCCAGGTGAGTTGTACAACATGAGAGGTATGATTTAAAGAGCAGGTAATCCTCTATTTTTCTTCTGATCTTGTCTACATTCAGAGACCCTAATGAGGTGAAACGCACTGCCACCAGCCTGTCTTGGCACCCTGATGGTAGTCATAAGCTGGCTGTGGCTTATTCCTCTCTGGAGTTCCAGAAAGTCACCAAAGACATGAGTTATGATTCCTACATCTGGGACATTGGCATGTATTTCAATTTTTTCTACTTGTTTCTTGCATTTTATTTTTTCCTTTGTGGGCCTCTTAAAACACTTGTGTGGTCTTATGTACTATTTTCCAACATCTCTTTATTCGTTAGAATTAAACAGGTTGTTTTTGTTGTTGTGCTTTGAAGACTGACATACTGTTTCAAATGGCTGCTCTGTATTGTGCCTCATTCAAAAAGCAGTCCAGGTTGAAACACTCCTTATAACTTCAGTATGGATGGGTGGGGCTAAACTGCTGTAGGCTGAATAGCCATACATATAATTGAACTGTTTTTTCAACATCACCAAAACAATAAATTCAAAATGGGCTGTTTTTGCAGGTGAGTTTCTATATATATTGACTGCATTGACTAGGGAGTGAACAGTACATTTTGAGTGTTAACATAGTATATGAAACGCTTATATATTAAAAAAAAATATAATATTTGAGTAAAGTGGTTTTTTTTTGTGATATGGGCCTGTACATGCATACATCAAAACAAAACAAACTGATTAGTTTCAGTACCGCAGTATGCATAACTTCCATCCCTGTTTACTCTGCCTAACATAATCAAGCTCTAAAAATTGTATCAGTTAATTTTGTACATTTTAACATGCAGGTGATGTTTTTATGCTCTTCTTTTTGTATTGTCTCATACAGAAAACCCCAATAAACCTGAGATGACCCTGAAACCTGTCTCTCCACTTGTTTGTCTGGAATATAACTCCAAAGACTCACACATTCTAGTTGGAGGAAGCTACAATGGACAAATAGGTAGACAGAAACTATCACCTATTTACTGTGCAAGAAGTCTTTTTGTTTTTATCATATCCGAGAGACTGCTTCCTCCTCACTGGCATATCCATTACTTAATGGCTGGGCGTACCACTGGCAACTTTAGTTTACTTATCTTAATTGTGATGCCTTATGTGACTTTTTCTCGGCTGCCCTGTGTGTCTTAAGCACTCTCACTTCTCAGAGAATAGCAGTTAATGGAAAATGTTCTTCTTTCTGTCAGCAATTAGTATAAAAGGGCATTACTTGTGCAAGCTCATTAAATGGCATCAGATATGTGAGGGACTTGAAGGACAGTGCCTGTCAAGCACAGAAATGCTAAAGGACACATTCCGGTGCAAAGCTAATTGAGGTTTGGTGTGTCACATGTTCTAAAATAGTTTGTAAAATGTAGCTTTTTTCTATCTAAGTGTGTCTAAATGGCTTCTGTTCTCACAGTCAAGTATAATTATGGTATAATTATGATAGAAATGTATCAAACGAGTTTTTCTGCAAAAAAAAGAATAACTTGCTAAACTTCTTTATATTCAGATCTCTAGTTTGTCCTGAGTGTGTTTAAACTTTAGAACACTCTCCCGGTCTTCAATCCTAAATACAAATGTGTGTCTCAAAGCATAACTGAGTGTCTGGCATCTTTGCAGCCTACTGGGATACACGGAAAGGCAGCCAGCCAGTTGAGATGTCCACCATTGAGCACAGCCATAGAGACCCAGTCTATAAGGTCATCTGGCTGCAGTCAAAGACAGGCACAGACTTCTTCTCAGCTTCCACGGATGGTCAGGTCAGTGTACAGGACAGAGAACTGTAATGTGGGAAGTGATTGCACTCTCCTCTCCTGTAAACGTGTTTTTGATTTTCAGTACATGCTTTTAACAGTAGTTAAACTTAAATCATTATTTAGCTAAAACCTACAATAGTTAAACTTAAATCATTATTTAGCTAAAGCCTACTCATACGTAACATGTTTATATTTTGATAAACATGAATATTGTTTCTTACTTTCTTAATTGACTAACAGTGAAAGCATTACTCATACATTTCCAAAAGAAGTTGTAGATGTTGTATATTGTATCAGGTGCTGTGGTGGGACATTCGGAAAATGAGCGAGCCCACAGAAAGACTGGTGCTGGACCCTACCAAGGAGGGGAAACTGGAAAATGCACTGGGGGCCATTTCACTGGAGTTTGAAACCACCATGGTAAGAAAACACCTCAGGATCAGAACAATTGATTTTTTCTTTTTCAGGTTAAGGCACTATGAATTGAACCCTAAAGGCTTCACTTTTCTTTACCAGCCCACAAAGTTCATGGTTGGGACTGAACAGGGGCTGGTGGTCTCATGTAACCGTAAAGCAAAAACTCCGGCTGAGAAGATAGTATGCACATACAGTGGCCATCATGGGCCCATCTATGCCCTTCAGAGGAACCCCTTCTTCCCCAAGAACTTTCTGACCGTGGCTGACTGGACAGCCCGCATCTGGTCTGAGGACATTAGAGAATCTTCCATCATGTGGACCAAGTAAGGATATAAAGTACTAATCAAACTGCTGAGTGTTGGGGTCCTGCAGAGTGTAGTTCCAAAAGTAAACCAGCAAAGCCAATTATCCTTAAAAGGTGGTTCTTCAAATGTTCTTCAGTAAAGGGCAATGGTTTTGTGTAGACCCATGACAATGTAAATAATAATTTAAATGCATACATGTTTCTAAATGGTTTTATGCATGGTTAAATGGTTCTTCTCTATGATGGAGAACCTGTTGTATGTGGTCCTTCAAAGATGTCTGAGGTTCTTTAAAGATATATATATTTATATGTATCTCACCAAAACGTTGTATAACATTTTTTCTGTTTGCTTGCTATCTAATCTAAATTAAAGTGCATCTAAAATATTATCTATAAGGATATTATTTTTGACAGGATATTATTTATTATTATTGCCATATTCTGTATCCAGGCTAAATAACAGTTTACTGCCATGCTTCCTGTTTTCTATGGTAGATTACAGATTAATTGATTTGAAATCGTTTATAAATAGTAATGTTTTGGACAGACATAATACACAAGTGTAGCAAGCAACTACATGTGTAACTGAAATGTTACAGATTTCAGTCTATTTGGAACAAATCATGTGTTTCTGTTTCTGTGTCTATGTTTGCAGATACCACACGGCCTCCCTGTCAGATGGATGTTGGAGCCCTGTTAGACCTTCTGTCTTCTTTACTGTCAAAATGGACGGCACGTTAGATGTATGGGACTTCCTGTTCAAGCAGAACGACCCCACACTCAGTCTAAAAGTACGCTCCTATATAAGTCCTATAAGTCCTCCTAATCCAAAGGTGTATTAAACAATTCTTTGCATATTAACATTATTCGAAATTTGTGTATTCTGTGGTTATGTTATTAAGTTCTATGAGATTTTTCACTAATATTACTGTTGTCTTATTCAGTAAACCACAGATTCCTAATTCTGGTCCCAGAGTATTTCCTGTCCTGAACATTTTCAGTAAGGAGTTGTTTATGAGCTGTTAATCAGTTGGATCAGGCATGTTGGAAGCTAAGAAAACAGGGCTACTCCAGGACCAATTCTGAAGTATTGGATTGGATGTTAAATAAGTTTGCTTTGGTTATGTTAGGTGTGTGATGAGGCTCTGTACAGCATACGGGTGCAGGATAATGGGCGTTTTCTGGCCTGCGGCTCACAGCTGGGCACTGCCACGCTGTTGGAGATATCCTCAGGCCTTTGCACGCTGCAGAAAAATGAGAAAGCGCTGGCTGCAATGGTGAGACACACACACAAATACACAAATAAATACAACTTCAGGATCAACAGTCAACAGTTTAAAAAAAGTATGTACCATCGGTGTAAAGAAAACCTTGTATCTCTGAAACTTTTTAAGCGAAGGAAAGAACATTCTAAATATCTGACTTTAAAAAATGTGAAAAATCATTTCATCATAAAATGTTTACAGAATGTAAAGGGCAGCTGGTGTAAAGTGAACAGTGTAGGAATTACAGCCATTTTCATACATAGCCCCCCATTTCTAGGGGTTCAAACGTAGTTGGACAATTACCTGTTCAGCTTGTTCAGCCTGCAAAATGTGTTTTATTCCATCATTTAATACTTAGAAGTTAGTATATAAAAAGGTCTCGAGTTGATTGCAAGTGTGGCATTTACATTTGGAATCTGTTGCTGTTGAAGTCCAAAGAGCTGGAAGTGACGCTACGCATCATTAGGCTGAAAAAAAAAAACATCAGAGAGTGGCTGAATTTGGGTGCAAGAAACACTGCACTAGTGAGTTCGGGAACACCAGAAGGCCCAGAAGACAACTGTGCCAGACAACAGAATTCTTTCCTGGTACATTGGCCAGATCAGGAGTACCTAGAACAGGGGTATCAAACTCAACTGCTAAAAGGGCCATACTAAAAAATTTCAACAAATCCATGGGTCAGAGAACGCCTTTGTTTTATTTTTAATTAACATTTTGCTATAAACTGAACTGACCGTTTGTTTATTCAAAATATGCACAAACTTCAGCAGTGAAATATAGGCGCTTGTAGTAGACATTGAAATATTACAGAAATACTTGAAATTGGGCCAGATATGATTGTGTTGGGCCTTGTGTTTGACGTATGGGCTCTAGAAGGTAGGCCTATATGTGTCAGAGTCAACCATCAGGACTTCACCAGAGCAAACACAGAGCATTTACCACCAGATATAAAACACTGGTAAACCTCAAAAACACGAAAACCAGATCAGAGTTTGACAGAAAAACATAAAAAAAAAGCCTGAACAGTTCTGGACAACGTCTTGTGGACAGATGAAACAAACACTTGATGTTTGTACCAGAATGATGGGAAGTGCCAGAAGTGAACAATGGCCCGAAGTATACTGTGAAAGCAACCCAAGACTTTTTTAACGCAAAGAAGTTGATTGTTCTGCAACGGTCAGGTCAATCATCTGACTTCAATCAATGCATTTCACTTACTCAAAGCAAAACTCATGGTAAAATGCCCCAAGAAGCAGCAGGAACTGAAGAAACCCAGTGTCTGGTGATGTCTGTGGGTTCCAGACTTCAAGAAAGGATTGACTGCAAAAGATGAAATGTATTAAAAAAAGAGGCAGGGAGGCTGGCAGTGTATGAAGATAGTTGTAATTCCTGCACTGTTCACAAGATATGGATGTAAATAGCCTCAAATAAAAACTGAGAGTCTGCACTTTTAGCCCATATTCATTGTTTAATTTCAATTCCAATATGCAGAGGCAAGGTATAAATGTGTTAGTGTATGTGTTTGTTTGTGATGTCAGATGTTTGAACGGGAGACAAAGCGGGAGAAGATTCTGGAGGCTCGTCATAGAGAGATGCGACTTAAGGAGCGCAGCCGCTCGGAGCAGAGCAAAGAGGACGAGGCCAAAGAGGGAGAGGGAGAGGAGAGTTCTGAGGAGCTGGTGGCCCGCGTAGAGAAAGAGTTCTACGAGATGATGGAGGCAGAGATGAAGAATAGAGGGAAAGATGAGAAAAAAGAGAAAGAGCTAGATAAGGTCAGGAACGGGGAATGTTAAGTAAGTGCACAAGGGGTATAAAAGCAAATCCAGCTCTGTTAACTTAATGAAAATGTCTTCATTTGTTTAAAAAATGATTTCATGTAACATGATAAGCTTTTCTCAGACATACACTCTTTAAAATAAAGGTGCTAAAAAAGTTTTGAGAAATGGCTCCTTGGTTCCTTAAAGAACCTTTCAGCTGATGATTCTTTGAAGAAAAAAATGTAAGTCAGATCTGTGAAGAACTTTTTTACAGTTTAAAGAACTTCAGCATAATGTAAAGGTTTTATACCAATTGAATGTTTTTCCTAGAACAACATGTCCAGGCCAAGAACCATTAAGGAATCATTATTTCTAAGAATGTATCTTGGGTGTCATCAATACTTCTACAACTGCATGTTACTTCAAAAAGAGAAGAGGTTTTAGAAATCTAAATTTCTGCATACATGTTTAAGATGGTTAAGTAACCAATATGATTTAGAGCAGTTTGGTATGAAATCCATTGTAGAGAAACTTAGTCAGAATTGTTTACAGTGGAGGTGATGGGAACTAGATTTCTGAAATATTTAGTGCCTCTCCTACAGACAGTCATTACATAAGATGGTTAAAATAGGCTGCCTGATGACTAAGACATTGTTTTACAGTGGTTTTAGGCCTGTCACAATTATTACATAATTGCCTAAACACAATTATTTGAGCTAATAGTGATTACCTTAGCTGATTGCCATTACTTTCCACAGTTGTTATCCTACACAATCATATGTTTATATTAGTTAGGTGTTTTCATTAGTTTGGTTGAGGCAAATACATGGAAAGAAAGTAGAAAACACTTTAATTGTAACACGATATGGATCTTACAAAAACAAAAATTCTGACTACAAAAGTGTTATGACACTTTTAAAGGGCAGTAATGGGTAATGTTTGTTTATTTGATGTTTGTCCATAACACCTTTAGACGGCAGTGGTGCATAATGTTTGTTTATTTGAGCTCAAGCTGTGTCTGTCATTAGTTGGGAGCAACTAAGTATCAATAGCAAGGACGTAAAATAGCAAATCGCATATATTTAGACTTGTACTTTTGTAAAGTAATTCAATTGTACATTTCAATTACAATATATGGCAGTTAATCGTCAGCTAAAATTTCACGATTCTGACAGACCTAGACAGTTTTGAGAAAAATAAATTTTGCCACAATATTTTAAATCCATTCATGGTGGAAAAGAACCCCAAAAAAACTTTTTTTTCAGATAATCCACTATTAATCCACAGTTTAAAACCTCAGAAAACCTGTATATGTTCACTGTTGATTTTGGATAGTAAATAAAATGTCTGTATTTGCATTATAAACATTGTGACCCCTGGTTCCAGTCACCAGGACTGTAAAGAAATAAGAGTCTGTCAGCTTCTCTACACTGAACAATTTCTCATCAAACAACTCTGATTGACTTTGTTTACATCTCAACAGTTTATTTAGGCAGAACGTTTGAATAATTGATAAAATTCCCCTGCTCAGTATTTTGACAGTATTTGATAGTGTTTCAGTACATTGTACATTTGGTACACTCGGAACAGTGGGATACATATAAAGTATGAAATTAATATGATATGATCATTTTTGCCATATTGTCCAGCCCCCTTTCGCACGTTAGGTAATTACCATGAAGTCAAGAAGAAATAAAGATCAGGTGACACATTGTCAAATAAGCATCATAGGCTATTCTGCAAAATACTGATCACTTAAATAGTTTCCTAGCCAGGAACTATGATATCTCATGGATAGAGGATTGTAATTCCTTTAAGAATAGTGGATAGGTTTTGTTCGATGGTACACCTGTCACCATCTCGCCTCTGCTGCCATGGTAACCTGTCAAATGTACACGCAGGGGTTTGTTTAGCTTTAACAGATTGCACCCTCTTTTGGTCCACTGCTCCATTAAGATAAGCCTCCTGTTCCCTATGTATAGTACCATGTGCTGACCTCTCACGTAAAGGCATTGTGTAAGACACAAGGAGAAAAAATCAGTAAACCCCACTTAGTCTTTACATGGTGTTTTATGTGGACTGTTTGTTGAAGACCAGCTGTGTGCATTTGGTTGCATAAGAACCTCTGCAATTACTGCAAAACACAAGTTTTGATCAGCAAATATTTACAGCACAACACAGTAACTAGAGTAGTCAGGAACCAGAATAGTGCCATTGCGTGTCAGTCATGTTGTACAACGGCTGAATTTATGGTCAGTCAAGTATTGTTCGATTTTTCTAAGCTGCTCTGTCTTTTGTTCCTCAGGAGAAGGGTGTGTGTGAGGAGAAGGAGTCGTGAGAAGAAGCTGCACCTGCACAACCTCGCCTCCTCTCAGCCACGCCGCGTTCTTAGAGACAAAGAGAAGAAACATTTTGTACACCGGAGCTCTCACTTGCCTCAAAAATCAACTGCAGAGCTTGCACAGTTATTTATGTTTACTAAGGCACAGTTGAAACTGCTGTTTCAAAAATGAAAATTGTGTTTTGCACATTTTTTTCTTCTATACATTCTGGTTTGTCTGCAGCAGCATTCTAGCATTAATTCAGGATCAGTTCAGGAGGTGCCTTCAGTTCAAAGGGTAAATTTATTATTTGAAAATTTCACACAAACATATATCATCACAAGTGAATTACAGTTTGAATTTCAACTCTTTAGCTGTACTGACAAAACTGAATTGAAAAACCTCAACACTGCTGCATTCAGGTTCAGTTTGCATCTTTATCCAAATATGCTTTCTGCAGAATTTGTCACATTTGTGTTTCCTAATAAATGCCAATAAAATCTGATGCAGGTGCCAATACAATTAATTGAAATAACCAGCACTTTACACAATGTTTTGATTTACATGGAAAGAAAAAAAACATATTATATCATTATTATTACTAAAAGTAAGTAAACTGTGACAATCGTTATTAAAGCAGTGAATCTCAGGAGACCACACATTACAGTTGTTTTCGAACAGGTAAGTGGAGTTGTTAGGCTTGATGTTAGCCAGCAGCCACCAACTCTTCTCCTTGATGAGTACCTTTCTACATCAGTGAACATCTAACATACTGCAATTAGGGTTCATACTCTTCAGCGTGGTCATTCTACGGCAACTCATCTACGGCTTGTCTGGTTGTGTCATAGATTTCGTTGAAAAAATTAAAGCAAAAAATTTAATTCATTCAACAATGCAAAATTTTAGAACTCCAAATAGTTTTTTTAATAATGAATTTTGTGCGTTTGCTCTAAATTGCATCTTTAACATTGAGTTTAACTGCTCACAAAATGACTGAGTGGAGCTGAAATATTTACTGGATATAAATACTGTAAACACAAACAGATAAACACTAAGAACAATATTTCAGCCTAAATCAACTGGTTTGAGTCCATAAGAGGTTAATGTTTTGAAAGATTTATGTCAACCTGTGCCATATTTCATAAAATGAATCTTTTCAGTCCATTATTAATGTAGTATTACTAAATTTCTAACAAATTTATGATTTTTTCATTTCTGCATGCCACATTTGAATCTACAGTATGAATTCAAATTGACAAAAACTAAATCAATTTTGTAGGCCTTTAGCTCTATATGTTCTCCAAAGAAACTAATTGTTTCCTTCAAACGTTTTTTCCGGAACAAAGAACAGTGATGTCTCATTAACATATAACACATTAACATATTACAGAGTGCTTTGACTCTGCTTTGATATTTTTTTATAACTATGAGGCGTTTGACTAAGACAAACAATTAATAACGCTGTCAACAGAAAAAACACTGAATTTCCAGTATAACCTCTGTGATGCTTGAGACAATCTGGATCTTTTTGAGGGTTAATGTATTTTTCTATTTCTTACTATTGTGCTCAGAATCTCTTACTGCAGCACCTAAGCGCACCCCTTTTTTCTAAAATTCTAACGCCTAATTTAATAATAAATAAAAAGGTCAGCGAGGGAGGTTGATAATTAGCTAATGATATGACCCAGGCGTATCAGAGCAGTTAAAAACCACTATGCTGCGCAGAGTGCAGCAGTGCAGCCCCCGCGTCATTAAAGCCGGTATCCAGCAGGTGGAGCCGAAACCACGAAGTCGTCGTCGAGTACCTGTTATTTTTTCCCCACCCGCATTCCGGAAAACTCCGCCTCCTGGGAGGAGAGTGTCGGAATACGGGTGAGAGAAAAGGCTGCATCAAAACCAGATACTGCACTACTACACTAATGAATGGACTAATGACGATGTACTGTGCTTAACATACTATTTAGTGCGGTAGAATGCGATTTGGGACGCAGACACAAATACACTCTATTGGTAGTTAGCCAATCCTAGCGCAGGTGACCGTATCCTTCTAGCCAACCCTAGCGCAGAAGGGCGGGGCTTGTCGGAATACGGGCGGGATAAAAACAAAACAACGCTACCTGGGACTCGATAGGACCCAGCCACCTTTAAATGACGCCTCGTCTATATGAGAATGGCGGAGAACAGCGTTTGGCAGGCTTACACTTTACCGCTGATCTCTAAGGGGACAGGACACAACACACAGCTACTCACGGCGAATGGAGGACGCTGAGGAGAGCGGTCAGGTTCATGGAGCTTCTTCTTAGACTTAGAGGGCATTAGTCTGTACTCTCTGAACGGCATTTTACTCAGACTACAAACGCATCTGCTCCGTTTGGCTGGTAACGGTAGAATTTTTGGCGTGTCGGCGGAGCGCCGTGTGAGCCATGGTGACACTGCCGAGAACATTTAGCGTGACGTTCCCGTAAGACTTAAACATACTAGTTCGCAGATATTAGCGAGTTTCTGTCTGTCATGAAGGATACCGGAGAATCCAAGGACCACCAGCTTACAGTGAGTAACTGCTTCTATAGACGAATAGCCTAGCTTGTCATGAGTGTAAGTTTTCCTCAGATGACGTAACTGTTTTGCTCAATTTAACGTTTGTTATTTCCTACATAGTATTACGAGGGTTGGGCAAAATACTTAGAAAAATTAGTAATGGCTAAATACTGAATACACTGTCCTAAATGTATTCAGTAATGTCTTCCGTTACAACACGTTACAAAGTAACGTATTCAGAATGTACTTAGAATACATTCTGAATACATACAGATAAGGCACATGGGAGAAACACATTAGGTCTCATTCACCAATATCACCAATAAGCTTTTTCTTATTTCTTTTCTTGAGAAAGGTCCTAAGAAAAAGTCAAATTGTCAGATTCATGACTTTTTCTTAAACCACATAATTATTTGCACCTTTGTGCTCTTGAGTGTGTGTGGATTCTGTTCTTACTTAAGAACAAATCCCAAATAAGAAAACACTGGTGACTGTCAGGTTCTTTGTGAAAACTGCAGAAGTGGGTTTTAAAAAGAAATATCTTCTTAAAAACGGTTGGTGAATGAAGCCCATTGATTTATCAGTCCACTCAGGCTTTAGCAGAGCTCAGTAACACTGAGATTAATAACTGATCATCACATTGATTTATCAGTCCACTCAGGCTTTAGCAGAGCTCAGTAACACTGAGAGTAGTAACTAATCGTCATATTGATTTATCAGTCCACTCAGGCTTTAGCAGGATCAGTGTAAAGAAGCCATTAATTGAATTTTAGAATTTGTCTAATGAGCATGTTTGCTACATGCTGTGCGCCAGTTCTAAAATAGCTGATGAACAAGCACTGATGGTGTTTTTTTGAAGGTTGTATGTTTTTTTATTTTAGTGATGTAAGTATTCTAAAAGTATTCTCAAATTATTAAAAGTAACTGTATTCTTAATACTGCCTTTACAAAATGGACTGAATACAGACACTTCATTTTTGTATTCTGAATATGTATTCCCAATAATTGTATTCTGTTATATCCCAACCATGTGTATTACAAGGTAATTATGTAAGTCTTAGTAATAACTGTTAAGTTCGACTATGTAGTCTTTGTCATAGTTAAAAGATTTATAGTATGTTCTTCTGAAAAGTTTGCCAACATCAAAGTCACTCACTTTGTAGGTTATTGTAAATCCACATGGAAGCTTTTTTTTCTCTACTCTGTTTTCTCATCTGTCTTATTCTGAAAAGTCAAAAGTAAGTTTGACCACCATGGGTTTTATCTTTGTAGCCGGAGAATTTAGTGCTGGATTTACAGTGATATTTTTTCTCAGAGCTGAATAATTCACATGGCCAGTTCCAGTTCCCTTGCTCTTCTTCCTGTGTAGCAGCCTTGAACTGGAGCAGCCATCAGTCATAGCAGTGCCTTTGAACTGGTAGTTACAATGCTGAGGTAGTGTAGGCTAACTAAATGAGCACCCCACCTGGGCACTCTACTGGCCTGGTAGCAGAATGATTGGTTTTTAAAGCAGGGTAGCCCAAAGCAGGCAACCCTTCAAAAGTGGCTCGCTTTTGGATCATGCCCTCAAAAGTAGATTGCTCCTACGCAGGAAGTAAATTACTCATCATGACTCATTAATCAGCTCAGAACGGCATATTTCAGTGTGATGCTCAAATAATATTCATGCTTTTGAGATGTGCTTCAGTATTTCTTCCGAGTTATTTTGTCTAGGTGTAGCTTAGTTACTTGGGTCTTAAAAAATAGTCCAGGAATTGGTACCTTTATCCCCCTGTTCTGAAGAAGGCTGTCTCTGTGCTTGCCTGTTTCTCAGGTGGCCTTGCGAATCCGGCCTCTGAGCGATGTAGAACTGGAGGAAGCGGCCACAATAGTGGCCCACAGAGTGGACGACCAGGTGAGAGTTTGACTTCATCATGCAGGTGTGAGAGATAAATAGATAGTATTTGGTTCTTTTCATGTGTACATCATGTATAAGAAACAGTACATAACAAAACATTTTTCGAAATTTCCGTCAACTGTTTATATTTGGATACCATATGTAATGGTTAGGTGTTTCTTGGCCAGCTGGGTGTCATTGAATCACTAGGGCATGTACAAGAGAGCTAACAAAAGGTTAAGGGTTCACTCTAGATGTATCTTTAATATGTGGGTGTCACTGTTGCCTCTCAATGCCAATGTCAGTGCCAGTGATGCAGGCAGACATAGACAAAGCATTAGGCATCAAAATCAACTGGTCAGCATCAACGTACTGGTGAGCTTAGCAGTAGCAAACAACCTGGAAGAGCATGTCAGATCACAGTAGTGGATGACCAAGGAGCTCTTTTAATCAAGAATGTTGAACAGAGCAAGAGAACTACTTAGGATGTAGGCATGGATGTGTTCAAGACCACCATACAGAGAAGAATGCACCAGCATGAGGTCACCACAGGATGCAAACCACTGGTGAACATTAAGGACTGAAAGGCCAGGTTACAGTTTGCTGAAAAGTAGGTAAAACGTTCTGGTACAATTTTCAGTAAATGAGATGAAGAATGACACATGAAACATGTTGGGACAGATGTGTATGGCTTCCAGTAAATCTAACTCATTTGACTTTATTGATGATGTAACAGGACGGATTCTGAAGTCTATTGGAGTATCATAAATATTAAGTGCTCGGACTCCCCTAAAAATCTTTGGGGGTCACTTCAACCTGCAATAGGACAGTGTTGTGAAACATGCTGCTAAAGTGACGATAGAGTTTTTCAAGGCCAAAAATTGGAATGTTCTCAACTGGCCAAGTCAGTCTTGCAACCTGAATTCCACTAATATGTTTAGTTCACTTAGTAAAGAAAAAACTGAATGCAAACTTCCCCTGAAACAGTCTGTGGAGATGCAGACCTCAGGAAGTCATTGATTGCAATAAGTACATAATCAATCAGCAACGTAGTGCTGGAACACAGCAAAACAACCAAACTTCTACAACCGTCTAATTATTTACGGAGAGAATGGTGTATTATATCTGTTCATTAGTGGCCCACTCATACTGCCTAGAAGCCTCCTTCATTCTGCTCACTTAGCATGCACATCACTGAATTCATTAAGTTGTTATAAGGCAGTCAAGAACATGACGCAGCACTTATCTACTGTGGCGCTACATTCACATGTTGCTGAGTATGAGAGCTTCTGATGGCAGTGTATATTCTGCTGAAGTGAAGGGCTAGTGATGGGTTATTTTTCGTGGGCAAATTCTCTTTTATGCTGTATTTCATTGTCATATATGTGTTGTAGCGCCACAGTAGATAGGTGCTGCATCATGTTCTTGACTGCCTTATAACAACTTAATGAATTCAGTGATGTGCATGCTAAGTGAGCAGAATGAAGGAGGCTTCTAGGCAGTATGAGTGGGCCACTAATGAACAGATATAATACACCATTCTCTCCGTAAATAATTAGACGGTTGTAGAAGTTTGGTTGTTTTGCTGTGTTCCAGCACTACATTGCTGATTGATTATGTGCTCATTGCAATCAATGACTTCCTGAGGTCTGCATCTCCACAGACTGTTTCAGGGGAAGTTTGCATTCAGTTTTTTCTTTATTAAGTGAACTAAATATATTAGTGGAATTCAGGTTGCAAGATTGACTTGGCCAGTTGAGAACGTTTATTCTTTTCTGAGAACATGCAGTCAGTACAAGGACCAACACAACTCAAGGAGTGGCAGAGTGATACATATTGATATTCTGAAAGTTATGTTGATCCCGAAGCTCACACTGTAAAACAGCACAAGATTGAGTACAATTCTCAGAAAAGAATAAACCCACAGTCCAGCTGTTTAGCAGGCTGTGTGAGGCTATTTGAAGACTAGAACTGGTGCTTTTAACACATGAACACAGGCTGTGTAAAGTGTCTCCAGTGTCTTATTGTCTTGGGCCATGATGCTTATTGGTGGTCAGTGCGGATTTTTGCCTGTGTTAGTGGAATGAGGAGGGCAGGGTTAGCTACTCTGGGTCTCTTGGGTCTGAGATATTATTAAGCTGTGCTCTGAGACTTAGCCCATTCATATTGGTGTAATCACTTAGACCTGTTCCACTATTGCAGCTGATGATGACAGTGGTGATTATGATGATGCTGTGAAAGTAATTGCTCATGCGTAAATCCTGTTGCTATGTTATTTCTGATCTTATGGTTAGACAGTGCCATACAGTACTTTTTTTAGAGGGAATACATGCAGCATTTTCTCAGCTCTGGTTCTACTGTACCCTGCCCTGCACATTTTGATGTTTTCTCCAACACGTGATCAAACGAATAAGCTAATTAACCCCTTACATCAGCCTGAAGTTTTATTACACACTTCTATAACCACAGAATAGATGAGCCAGTTTAGTAAGCCTTAGTATGTAATAAGCCTGGGATTTTAAGGGGATAATAAGCCCTAGTTGAAGTGGGCGTGTGAGTAGGTTAAACACTACAGTGAGCAGGGCAGGGGCTCCTCAGGACCAGGGCTGGAAACCAATATTCAGTCGTATGCAAATGTTTGGGCACCCTGGCCAAATGACATGTTTTATTGATTTTCTAAATGATAATAAGTTAACACATCATCTACAGGGACTTAAATTTGACTTCCTGCAAATTTTAGTGGACACTTTATTTATTTGTTGAGTTTTGACATGTTGAAAAAAAAATAAAACATAAAATATAAAATGTGCCGTAAGTTTTACAATTTCACATTTTTTTGATTCATTTTTTCCAGCATGTTCAGCAAAAATTCAGAAAATAAACTCAAACTTTTGCATACAACGATATTCCTATTAATTGAAGCTCCAGTTATAAGCTGGTAAAATAGCACCATGATTGTCCCTGTGTTTACTAAGAAAATGTGCAGTAAATAAATAAATACAGCAGTTTCCCATAATGGCCATTCCATCAGTGGAATGGAAATCAACTCAGATATTTTTAATACATATAATCAAGTAAAATATTTACTTTGTAACTCTGATTATCTAGGACACTGTTGTCTCTCTGTTTTTGTGAAGGTTGTGACTCTGTGTTGAGCTGCTAGCGAGCAATGAGGGGCGATAGTGGAGAGGTGAGAAGCCCCAGCTGTGAAAACAATTAATGCCTCTCCACAGAGAAAGGTGTGCTGAAAGTGTTAAACTCTAAAAAATAGCTTTTAAACACAATAAAAACTGTTATAAATGTTGATTTGCTCACACAAGAAAATCCAATTTTTTCATCCACAGAAATATATTTCATCAACATAATTGAAGAAAGTTTGAGTTTCAGAGTAATCTGGTGATTTTAAACAGTTGTATTTTAATTTTGTATTATTAGTATTACCAAGCATGCTTAGCTGTAATCACATATGAACTTGTGTCATAAACAAGCATTTTGTTGTGAAGTGGTTTGTTGTTTGTTTGTGTATCATCCAGTGTAGGATACACTGTATATATGTGGCAAATCAACAGGATGCTTAATTCTAATTAGATTTATTTCTAATTAGATTTCCTAATGTTGTCATCTACAGTGGCTGGTGATGGGACAGTTTGTTTACATCAGAGGGCTTAGGCTCCACAGAGCAAACAGGTTGTGCTGGTAGTGATTAGCAGCACACACATCCAAGGGCTTATATGCTTTGTATTGTGTTTGTGCAGCCGCGCACATGAATGGAGAGGATAGAGAGGACTCAACAAGTGGTCCCATGGTTTAACACATGGTGTTTATGCAGTTAGCAATGTCATAGAGTAACACACACATACACACTGATATGTGCCACAACATATCACACAGCTTATTAGTTGTTCTCAATATAACCGTTAATTAAATGCTCTCAATATAGTACAAGAAGTAGTCACAATAATGGCTTCAAAGTCACGTAAGAGAACTCTCATGATTAATTCAAAATTTTTTTTTTTCAAATTTGCTATATTTATATATGAACTACCCAATGCACATGCATGCTCATGCACAGCAGTTTATGAAAAGAAACACTCCACCCCCATCCTCACATTAACTAAACCTCAACCTCATCCCACCTCTTTAATCAAAAGCAATTTGTCAGATTCGCTGACTGACCAAAACAGCACCTTCATCACTTAGTTTGGGTGGCACACGCCATATGGCCTTTCCATCTTCAGGTAGGCTGAGACAGATTAGTTTCATTTAGAGGCGGCACACTCTGCTCTTTCTCTCTAGAGGCAGACGGCTGAGGGCGTAAGCCCCCTGAGTCTGAGCTCAGCTCTGGGGCTTTGGAGGGCTTAGACTGCAACCACCTGCTCAGCTCCACCACCCCAGCTCACCTGCTGCTGACGCTGCCACAACTTTTCCAGAATCTTCTCCTTCACTTAACTTTGTTTTGTAGTTGATTTCAGGTCACTAGTTTGAAGTGTGTGGTAGAAAACCAATATACAACTTGACAACACAAATGTGGAGATATAGGATCAGTATTAGCATCATACAAGAACGGAATTGCTTTAGGAACGGTGATCCTGATGATGAATATTACATAATAATAAAAATAATAATTGGGGCATTCCCCAGCTTGTTTGGACCTGCCTGTACATTGACTCTGAGTCACAGAGTCTCTTATGGTTTTCCCATATGATTTCTCAGTGGGATGCTGTCATGCCTTAGCTTTTCATAACATGCTACTCATCCTATGGCTTTCATCTTTTAGTCTTCATAATTGGATTAAGTCAGTTTACAAAGGTGGTTTACCTGTTGTTGTAGGCAGTGTCTTATGCTTATGCTTGTGATTTGCAGATCATAATAAAAAAAATTATTCAGGCTTACATTAAAATACACTGTGCAAAAGTCACTTTCTAGTAAGTTTCTAGTTAGAACAACCTGTTATTTGTTTTCCAGTGTCAGAAAAAAAGCAGAAAACTTATATAGAAAATGATGCCAGATGCCTGAAC